CCCACTTTAGCCAGTTCATGTAGGTTAGATCCACACAGAGCATTAAGAGTGGTTCCTTAGTTCGATGGCACATTCGTATTCACACTGCTCTTTCTCACACTGGCAGTTCTCTCACTGCGAACTACACCAACAACGAAGGCCCATGCACACAATGTTGCTTTGTAATGCACAACATCATTGTATGACCAATGTTGAATACCTGTATAACATTGTTCCATTTGCTCTCGCACAGAAGGACATCCATTCTCTTTGTGGAATGGATAGTATTTATTGGACCTACTGTATGTATCATGTGGCAGGCTGGAAAATGCAACAGTGACTGTGTGCAAGGACCCAAACAGACACACACAGTCTGTGTCTAAAATGACACTCATTCCCATTATAGTGCACTACTTTTGACCACAGCCCAATACGGGCCCTGGTCAAAAGTAGTGCATTATTATGGATGCAGACATACACACACAATACTGTCAGCATAATCAATTACATCACTCACTTTGAATTTGATTCAGACCTCGATTCAGACCAAAGAATTGACTTAGACCTCAGAAGATTTGTCTCAGAAAAACTGGAAAAATAAATACAAAATAAGTATGGTGAACATAGAGTATATATAAAACATTATAAATAGAAGAAAACAAATATCAATAGTAATGGCCATTTGACCAAACCAATAAAATGCAATCTGTGTCTGTGTGTGTGTGTGTGTGTGTGTGATGGTGTGTGTGTGTGTGGGGGGGGGGGGGGGGGGGGGGGGGGGGGGGGGGGTGAGGAGCCCATTGGAATGTGAGGTGTGTGAAGTAAAGAGCTGTGGGTTCTAAAACCGGTCAGACCGCACTATGATGGATGTTATCTCTCTATTTCCCTGCAGACATTCAGGCCTGCTTCCTCGCCCTCTTCACTCCTCTCTATCTCGCTGTCTCTCTCTCCTTCTCCACTTCCTCATCTCCTTTCCCTCCCATAAAACAATGTCTTAAATGTCTGAGGGGAGACTTTGCTAATGGCCAACATTAGCTCCTTAATTAAATATACATTACACCATTACTGACAGGGGCTGGGACTGTGTGGCTAAAGCACAGTGGCCAGGGCTAAAATAATAAAACATGCACAATAAAATTTCCTTCAGAAGCCTTTTGAGTGTTTATGTAGTAGGGGTTGGAGATGTGTGTCATGATTCTACCACAGTTGACCCAACCACGCCTAAACGGAGATCTGACAATGAAAGGACCATCTCACACAGACCCTGCCCAAACTCTCTCAGTTATAGCAGTGGTATTCAAACTTTTTCAGTAGGGACCCCATTTTTTCAGTCAGAATTTCTGAGGATCCCATTTCTTTCCCGAAGAAGTTCTCGCGACACCACCCCAAATTTTATGACACAACCTTAAAATCATAAAATTGTGATTTTTACATCAACAATTAACATTCAATTCATTGCATTTTCATCTCTTACCTAAATGAAAATAAACTAATGAATACATATACTGAATAAAAATTGTTTTTTCAAATTATCATTCTCAAAAACGTTTGTATATTGTCCCATACAATAATCTGTGCTCTTAATTGTTTTGTCCTCCCTTTGTCCTCCCTTTGTCCTCCCTCCTACAACAAATATTAAATAATAATTTTGACGACCCCCACTGCAGTTCCCCCGCGACCCCACTGCAGTTCCCCCGCGACCCCACTGCAGTTCCCCCGCGACCCCAATGTTGCCCTGACTTTGAATACCACTGAGTTATAGCATTTCATTTGTTGTTGTTTGTCAGCATGAGGGGAAATGTCTTGGTTGACAGGGGAAATAATAGTCTGGTTGCTTCCATGTCTCCTCAGATGGAGCGATGCGTCTCAAGTCTTTGCATGACATCGCTGGGCTCCGATGTCTGGTAGCTGTATGTCCTGTATGTACAGAGAAGAAATGGCGGTCCCTCTTCTGGACTCCAGGGGTTTTATTTACAGAAGGATGGAGTTTCCAGAAACCAATTGGACCAAACGGCACCTCCCACTGCCTGCTCGTATAGACTACAGTACAGACCTCTTAGCCATTTACAGTAGACCATTTAGGCGCCGTTAAAAACGCCTTTGAAGAGATGGGAGAAGCCTTCCCACTGCAAACCATTCTTAATGTCTCTTGAGCAGGAAGAAAAGAGATGGTGGGTAAAGAGATGCAAGACAGAGTAAAAGTAGGAATAAAGTGCGAGAGAGAGAGAGAGGAGAGAGAGAGAGGGAGAGAGAGGGAGAGAGAGAGGAGAGGAGAGAGAGAGGAGAGAGAGAGGAGAGAGAGAGAGAGAGAGGAGAGAGAGGAGGAGAGAGAGAGAGGAGCAGTAGAGGAGAGAGAGAGATGAGAGAGAGGAAGAGAGAGAGAGGAGAGGAGAGGGGAGGCAGAGGGAGGGAGGGAGAGAGGAGAAAGAGAGAGCAGAGAGAGGGAGGCACAAGGGAATAGTTGGGAATCTTCTGAGAGAGAGGGTAGGGCACAAGGGAATAGTTGGGGAATATTCGAGGAGAGGGTAGGGCACAAGGGAATAGTTGGGGAATCTTCTGAGAGAGAGGGTAGGGCACAAGGGAATAGTTGGGGAATCATCTGATTGCCTTAAAGAGTTTGATTGTAGCTTCAAACACACACTCAAGCATGCGCACATACACACACAGACACACACACACACACTCAGCCGAGGATGTCCAGGTAGACAGGAGAGGCCTTGGCTAGGTTGAGCAGTAGGCTGTGGATCTCCTTGATGTGGTGTCTCATGTGGGGTTCCCTCTGCCAGCACCCCAGCATCAGGTCGTACACCTCTTTGGGACAGGTGCGAGGCCGCTGCAGGACACGCCCCTGTGTAATACACTCAATCACCTGTGTGTGTGTGTGGGGGGGGGGGAGAAAGACACAAGGTTAGGCTCACTTTATGTACACTGAACTAAAATATAAATGCAACAATTTCTTAGATTTTACTGAGTTACAGTTCATATAAGGAAATCAGTCAATTTAAATAAATAAATTGGCCCTAATCTATGGATTTCACGTGACTGGGAATACAGATATGCATCTGTTGATCACAGATACCTTACAACAAAAGGTAGGGGCGTGGATCAGAAAACCAGTCAGTATCTGGTGTGACCACCATTTGCCTCATGCAGCGCGACACATCTCCTTTGCATAGAGTTGATCAGGCTGTTGATTGTGGCCTGTGGAATGTTGTCCCACTCCTTTTCAATGGCTGTGAGAAGTTGCTTGATATTGGCGGGAACTGGAACACACTGTCGTACACGTCGATCCAGAGCATCCCAAACTCAATGGGTGACATTGGTGAGTATGCAGGCCATAGAATAACTGGGATATTTTCAGCTTCCAGGAATTGTGTACAGATCCTTGCGACATGGGGTCGTGCATTATCATGCTGAAACATGAGGTGATGGCGGCGTATGAATGGCACGACAATGGGCCTCAGGATCTCGTCACGATAATTGCCATCGATAAAATGCAATTGTGTTCATTGTCCGTAGCTTATGCCTGCCCATACCATAACCCCACAGCCACCATGGGGCACTCTGTACACAACGTTGACATCAGCAAACCGCTAGCCCACACAACGCCATACACACTGTCTGCCATCCGGTACAGCTGAAACCGGGATTCATCTGTGAAGAGCACACTTCTCCAGCGTGCCAGTGGCCATCGAAGGTGAGCATTTGCCCACTGAAGTCGGTTACAACGCCAAACTGCAGTCAGGTCAAGACCCTAGTGAGGACGACGAATACGCAGATGAGCTTCCCTGAGACGGTTTCTGACAGTTTGTACAGACATTCTTCGGTTGTGCAAACCCACAGTTTCATCAGCTGTCCGGGTGGCTGGTCTCAGACAATCCCGCAGGTGAAGAAGCCGGATGTGGAGGTCCTGGGCTGGCGTGATTACACGTGGTCTGCGGTTGTGAGGCCAGTTGGACATACTGCCAAATTCTCTTAAACAACGTTGGAGGCAGCTTATGGTAGAGAAATTAACATTCAATTCTCTGGCAACAGCTCTGGTGGACATTTCTGCAGTCAGCATTCCAATTGCACACGCCCTCAAAACTTGAGACATCTGTGGCATTGTGTTGTGTGACAAAACTGCACATTTTAGAGTGGCCTTTTATTGTCCCCAGCACAAGGTGCACCTGTGTAATGATCATGCTGTTTAATCAGCTTCTTGATATGCCATACCTGTCAGGTGGATGGATTATCTTGGCAAAGGAGAAATGCTCACGAACAGGGATGTGAACAAATTTTTACACAACATTTTTGAGAAATACGCTTTTTGTGCATATGGAACATTTCTGGGATCTTTTATTTCAGCTCATGAAACATGGGACCAACACTTTACATGTTGTGTTTATATTTTTGTTCAGTATAGATCAGTAAGTATCTGATATACAAGCAGTATGGAAATAGCTCCATCTTGCCATCTGATAGGACAGATGGAAGCCTTTCAGATCTATACCTTGGGGTATAAGCTAAGGCTAGGGGTCAATTTGGCTTTGGGGTTAGGGGGGTTACAGCTTTTTTTTAGGGAAGTAACCAGAGATGGGGTTAGGGGTTAGGGGGTTCTGACTAGGTGGAACACAGCTACGACCAGAAGTTATTTTTTCGTAGCAGGTTAGGAAAACTTACGCAGCAGGTTAGACTAATTAACGTGGCAGGTTAGGAGAATGAGTTTAAGGTAACGAAAAGGGTTAGCTAAAATGTTGTCCTAACCTGCTACGAAAAGTAACTTCCGGTCGTAGCTGTACTCCATCCAGTCACCACCAGGGTAGGGTCAAGGTTGGGGGTTAAAGGTACTGTAAAATATAATTGGCCATTCTGTTGGAAAGCTTTGTCAAAGGAATTAATGTGAGGGTAGACTCCAGTTAGCGGTAGCCTGGATGCTAGTCTGTTCTCCTTTCTTGCCACTTCCTCATGGAACTGTCGTAAGGTGGTGGCAAGAGAACAGAAACAGACTGGCAACCAGGCTACATGGAGGTAGAGTATAGTCAGAGAGTTGGAGTTGGGGTTGGGGTTAGGGTTAAGGTTAGCTTAGAGGTGAGACAGACCTCGTTGTTGGAGAGCTGGTACCAGGGCTGTTTGCCGTAGGTGAAGATCTCCCAGAGGACCACGCCCAGACTCCACACGTCGCTCTCCGTGGTGAACTTCCTGTACATGATGCTCTCTGGAGGCATCCAGCGAATGGGCAGCATGGTGTGACCGCCCACCTACAACACCAACACACACACATACACACAGTCAGCCTGGACGCTTTATTTGAACAGTACAGAAATGACAAGATATTTTCAGTGAAACTACTTGGTAAAATGGTAATTAAACATTAATGACCTGCAAATTACATTCCGGGCATTGTTTTCCAGTCCCACAGAAAAACGCAACAAAGCGCCTATGCAAAGCCCTTGCCAGTGTGTGTGCAGGCTACCTGCCCCTCCCCCTACGAAACATAGGCTACTGTAGCCTAGTGAAGTTACAAGCATAATTCAGAAATTAGGGAGTGCGATTTTTTATTAGAGAAGAATGGATTAACTTTTTCAATGCTAGTTAAGGATACTATATTTATCACATTTCACACTGGATTTATTAACTACAAAAAGATAAGATAGGTTTTTATTTTTATTCTGGTGCCGTTCTACACACACAAGCTTGGGTCCACTGTTAAGCAAACTCTCGGAAGTTCAAAGACATTCAAAGTTTGTTTATAGAAGCCGCTCCTCCGTAGATAATTCTGTGGGCCTAATTCAGAAAATGAATGTCATAACAAGACGCCCAGCGCTTCAAGCCAAGCCTTCTCCTTCACCCTCGCGCCCTACATTTGTCTGTCCAATGCATGTAGGCTAAACAACTATAGCTTGCCCGCTACATAGCAAGCTAAAGCTAGTCTATCCTCACTGATTGGTGAAGTAATTTAATGTTGAGCTAAATGAATAAAAAATATTTATATTTCAGAGGTTAAAAAGGAACAGAAAGGAATTATATAAACCGTTACTTTTTTTTGGTTCGAATCGGTTCAGTATTGTATTTTGCTGGTCGGAACAGTAGAATGGAACAAAAAAAAAGAATGGTTCTGTTCAGAACGAAATGATTGGAAAATAATTTTGGTTCCAACCCCTGATTGAAACAGTACCCTAAAATAAAGTGCAAACAAAATAAACATAAAAGAAACATAGTTATTTAAAACGACAAATGGTAAAATAATAGGGTACATTGTTTGTCCAATTGTTGTGTCTAACACACAGACAAATATAGTTCTGAGCACTAAAAGGTTATGCTCAGTTTTTCAAAATGCCTTACTGCAGCAAGGTACATAGTTAATGTCACAAACAAGCAATCATCTAACAATAACCCATGTAATAAAATACATTTCTGAAATATGTCCCTGACCCTGACGGTGCAGTTCCATCCACTTTATTACTGTGCTGCAATACAGGTGGACTTTTGAATGCCTAGGACTGAAGCTAAAGTTGTACTGTCCCAGACACTGTGCAAGACAGGAAGTTGTGACTGGCCACTGCTGTCTGCCGCCCACTCAGCCCGGAATGGTCTCTTCCTCTCTCCGTCAGAGTGGCCTTTACTTTACCAGTCCATTAAAGCCAAGAGATAGTCATCACCGGTGTGTGTTTTTCTGTGAAAACCAATCTAGCTCTAGTCCGCCTTCTCAAAGGCGCTTTCCTCCTCCTCAACACATAATTCACTTTAAGTGTTTTCACATAACTCAAACCCCACTTGAGTTTCCAAGGAAATATACTGTGTGTGTATGATTGTTGCGATGGATTCACGGTCAAGTGGGGTTGACGCCAACATCCAGTGAGTGTCTCATTTAGTTAGTGAGGTTTAGTTTGAAATATTAATGCTGCGCTCCTGATCTTAGTGTCTCCACTTTTTGTGTTTGTGTGTGTGCTTGTTGCTTGTGTGTGTGTATGTGCTTGCTTGTGTTTATGTCTCTCTCTGTGTGTGTGTGTGTGTGTGTGTGTGTGTGTGTGTGTGTGTGTGTGTGTGTGTGTGTGTGTGTGTGTTTGTGTGTGTGTGTGTGTGTGTGTGTACAGTGCATTCGGAAAGTATTCAGACCCCTTTACCTTTTCCACATTTTGTTACGTTACAGCCTTATTCTAAAATGGATTAAAATTTATGTTTTTCCTCATCAATCTTCACAAAATACCCCACAATAACAAAGCAAAACAGGTTTTTAGACATTTTTGCAAATGTATTAAAAATTCATAATTCTTAAATGGAAGAAGTTTGGAACCACCAAGACTCTTCCTCCCGGCCAAACTGAGCAATCAGGAGAGAAGGGCCTTGGTCAGGGAGGTGACCAAGAACCAGATGGTCACTCTGACAGAGCTCCAGAGTTTCTCTGTGGAGATGGGAGAACCTTCCAGAAGGACAATCATCTCTGCAGCACTCCACCAATCAGGCCTTTATGGTAGAGTGGCCAGGCGGAAGCCACTCCTCAGTAAAAGGCACATGACAGCCCGCTTGGAGTTTGACAAAAGGCACCTAAAGGACTCTCAGATCATGAGAAACAAGATTATCTGGTCTGATCTGATGAAACCAAGATTGAACTCTTTAGCCTGAAAGCCGAGCGTCACGTCTGGAGGAAACCTGGCACCATCCCTACGATGAAGCTCAGTGGTGGCAACATCATGCTGTGGGGATGATTTTCAGCGGCAGGGACTGGGAGACTAGTGGCAGGGAAAGATGAACGGAGCAAAGTACAGAGCGATACGTGATGAAAACCTGCTTCAGAGCACTCAGGACCTCAGACTGGGGCGAAGGTTCACCTTCCAACAGGACAACAACCCTAAGCACACAGCCAAGACAACGCAGGAGTGGCATCGAGACAAGTCTCTGAATGTCCTTGAGTGGCCCAGCCAGAGCCCGGACTTGAACCCGATCGAACATCTCTGGAGAGACCTGAAAATAGTAGTTGTGTAGTGACGCTCCCCATCCAACCTGACAGAGCTTGAGAGGATCTGCAGAGAAGAATGGTAGAAACTCCCCAAATACAGGTGTGCCAAGCTTGTAGCATCATACACAAGAAGACTCGAGGCTGTAATCGCTGCCAAAGGTGGTTCAACAAAGTACTCAGTAAAGGGTCTGAATACCAATGTAAATGTGATATTTCAGTATTTAATATTCTAAAGACCTATTTTTGCTTTGTCATTATGGGGTATTGTGTGTAGATTGATGAGGAAAAAAACAAATTGAATCAATTTTAGAATAAGGCTGTAATGAAACAAAATGTGGAAAAAGTCAAGGGGTCTGAATACTTTCCAAATGTATGTGTGCGTATATGTGCATGCGTGAGTGTGTTTCAGTGTGTGTGCTTGTTTGTGTTTCTCTGTGTGTGAATGTGTGTTACTTTGTGAGGTAGAAAAGCCCCTGATTAATTGTTCTTAACATCCTGAGTTCATTAAATATTAAGAGAAGGAGTTTTACTAGCCTGTTCAGAGGGCCCAATGGTTTTTAGAGCTCAATATTCTGAGTGACCAGAGAGACTATCTTTCACCATCCGAAACTCTCTATCTCTCTCTCTCTCGCTCTCTCCAGCCAGGTCACAGCAGATCCACTTCAGTATTCTTAGTGGCAACATGAGCACCTATTAACAATATCATCTAGTAGGCTCTCGGCTTGCTAGGGCGTTGTAGGTGGGGATAGAGGAAGGGCTTAAAATGCGAGCTACGGCTCTGAGGATCGTGGGTTCAATCCCAGTGCTAGGCACTAGTTTATTTAAATTTTTATTTGAACCCTATCCCAACCTTAACCCTTACCTTAACCAGTCGGAATGAAGGCCTAAACTTAACCGCAGAGTTTTGACTTTTATCCCCCCTTGGAAATATGTTGAATATTGAAGTCAGACGGTAAAATCATGTTGCTCTCAGACTTATAAATATTCATAAATAACTAACCCACTGCTTGTCTGTGCCAGAAAACCTCAAAGAAGAAGAAAACGAGGAATTGTGAATTAAGAGTTTAGAGGCCACGGTATCCATGGCAACCAGGCGGGTTTGAAAGAGAGCTTTTGGGATGCTTTAGACTGGCTGCGTGGGAGGGGTTTCACTAGGAGACTCCTCCTCCTCCTTGTTCCAGTAGACTGAACTGAATTTCCATGTGTTTCTATGGAGATGGTCATTCTACTGGGAATTCCTGTTTTTTATCAGTCGGTCTGTAGTTAAAGAGCATACAGATTTTGTATTCATGTGGATTAAAGATAAATTATAAAAGAGGCTGCTCTGGGGTGGGTGGGTGGGTTGGTTGGATGGTTGGTTGGTTTCCGCAGCTGTCCATCAAAGCCCTGGAAGGGCGCAATGTGACATCACTGGGCACTATAGTGAATAGGGTACCATTTCAAATGCAGCCACTGTCAGGCATCATCCCTAGACAGGAAGCAACTTGTGCTGGTCTACCTTCTGATCCCTCCTATGACATCAATGTTCATCATTCTTTCACCGAACTCTTGGGGGAAAACAGCTCTCAGTCTCTTTCTCTGCATATCTCTATCTATCATTGGCTACTCTCTCCTTTCTCATGTCTCTCTCCACACTCTCCTTCTCTCAACCTCTCCACTCTGAAGCCCCCCTTCTCTTCTCTTTTCTCTTGTACCCCTCCTCTCTTGCATCTTTATTTGTGTTGATTTATTTCACTTGCCCCTTATCTCCCCATCTCTCTCTCTCTCTCTCTCTCTCTCTCTCTCTCTCTCTCTCTCTCCTCTCTCTCTCTCTCTCCTCTCTCTCTCTCTCTCTCTCTCTCTCACTCTCTCTCGCTCTCACTCTCTCTAGTAGTGGAGCTGCATACTAATATAAGTTCTTTAATTACTTTTTTTCATAGGGACTGTCTGATATAACTTATGCTCTGTGCTGCCTTTGCCCGTTGCTATGGCGACTCCTCCAGTGGTTAACTTTACTGAGAGGGTGTGTGTGTGTGTCTGGGAGGTGTGGGCGGTGTGGGGAGGTGGATAGCAGTTGTATGTTGTCACACACTAATAGTGAAATCAAAGAGAGGGGGAGGCAGGGAAGCAGGGTGGAGAATGTGTGGAAGAGACAGGGTCTGTGACATCTATACACTGACATCTACGTATAAGGCCTCTGCAGTGTTTCTCAAACTCCCGTTCGGGACAGTCCATAGAGGATGTTGTTGCTGACCGACCAATCAATCAGTTAGTTAAATACTTGGTTAGTTAGTTAGCTGGTACCAATTCAATAATATTGAAGCAGTTCTGAGGCATAGGCAGACATAGACTGTTGAGAAACACTGCTCTATGCAGCTTTCTTCTTCTAGCTATTAAACATACCAGGCCCAGGGCCTACTGATCGATTCATGCCCATGCAGGGAGAGAGTGAGGCCCATGCAGGGAGAGAGTGAGGCCCATGCAGGGAGAGAGTGAGGCCCATGCAAAGGGAAGTAGTAGTGGGCCAAGAAAAAAGAGGGCGACACATACACTTACCCTGTAGTAGTCCGTGCTGTACACGTCTCGGGACATGCCGAAATCACCGATCTTCACCAGCAGATTCTCTCCCACCAGACAGTTACGTGTGGCCAGGTCTCGGTGGACAAAGTGCTGGGAGGCCAGGTAGACCATGCCTGCAGCGATCTGCTGGGCGATGTGCAGCATCTGGGACTGGGTCAGTACCACGGGCCTATTGGTCGGACCGTCACCCATCATCACGGAGTCGGGACCGTGAGCCCTACGGAATGAGAGGAGGGGAGAGGAATTCCATTGAAATTCCGAATCACAACCTGAAAGGTGACATTCATTTTCAACTTTATTTATACATTTGCGTTGGGAGTTTTAACTCACTTCCTGTAATGGCTTCATTGAAATAGATCATGACAAACCTCAGTCAATAGAGATTTACTGGGCTTTTATGTAGTAGGGGGAGGAATTCCGACCCGAGTTAAAGCTGCAATATCTAACTTTTTGGGCGACCCGACCAAATTCACATAGAAATGTGAGTTATAGATCTGTCTTTCTCATTGAAAGCAAGTCTAAGAAGCTGTAGATCTGTTCTATGTGTGTTATTTCTATGCTTCCCATTCTTAAGTATCGTTTTTGCGTCTTGTACTTTAGGTTTGGTGCACCAGCTTCAAACAGCTAAAAATACAATATTTTTGGTTATGGAAAATACATTTCACAGCAGTTTAAATGGTACAATGATTCTCTACACTATACTTGCTTGTTTTGTCACATAAACTGAAATTAGGCAAACTGTTAGAATTTTTGTGTACCAGGAAATGGCAAAGTGCAGCTTTAAGCGCGCGGAAATGGAACGTATATCTCTTTTATGCATTTATCTCTCTATGCGTATTCGGACCTTTAACTTAAGCATGACAATAGCATGCTATTAACCCGCTATTCGTGGATGGCCATAATGACCATCGTTATGTTTGGAGGAAAAAGGGGGTTGCTTGCAAGCCAAAGAACACCATCCCAACCGTGAAGCACGGGGGTGGCAGCATCATGCTGTGGGGGTGCTTTGTTGCAGGAGGGACTGGTGCACTTCACAAAATAGATGGCATCATGAGGAAGGAAAATTATGTGGATATATTGAAGCAACATCTCAAGACATCAGTCAGGAAGTTAAAGCTTGGTCGCAAATGGGTCTTCCAAATGGACAATGACCCCAAGCATACTTCCAAAGTTGTGGCAAAATGGCTTAAGAACAACAAAGTCAAGGTATTGGAGTGGCCATCACAAAGACCTGACCTCAAACCTATAGAACATTTGTGGGCAGAACTGAAAAAGCGTGTGCGAGCAAGGAGGCCTACAAACCTGACTCAGTTACACCAGCTCTGTCAGGAGGAATGGGCCGAAATTCACCCAACTTATTGTGGGAAGTTTGCGGAAGGCTACCCGAAATGTTTGACCCAAGTTAAACAATTTAAAGACAATGCTACCGAATACTAATTGAGTGTATGTAAACTTCTGATCCACTGGGAATGTGATGAAAAAAATTAAAGCTGAAATAAATCATTCTCTCTACTATTATTCTGACATTTCACATTCTTAAAATATAGTGGTGATCCTAACTGACCTAAAACTGGGAATCTTTACTAGGATTAAATGTCAGGAATTGTGAAAAACTGAGTTTAAATGTATTTGGCTAAGGTGTATGTAAACTTCCGACTTCAACTGTAAGTAACAGCATTCTCCATGCACTGCAATTTATAAATTGATAGGAGCTATTGATAAGAGCTAGGTAAATGAGTAATCCGTTTGGAGAAGTGGATTGTAAATACACATAGCAATTGTTTTAGATGATTTTTCCTTATGATCTCAGGAGACGAATGAGAAACCAGTCATATGGAAGCAAACTGAAAATCATATCAACATGACATGTATTGCGGCCCCTTTTCCACAGTGAAGTAGGGTATAAATAGCTGTGCCGTTATTCAGAATTTGTATTGTATGCCCTCATAATTTGTGTGGATGAAATTTGGAGATCCAAGCTATGGGTTTCTGTGGGGCCGACACTGCCAAGTTGATGTATGCAGTTTAGAATGTTTTAATTATATGCCCGGGTTTTTCTCCATTTTATTTTACAATTTGTATCATGTTAAATAGTAGCCACTATCGGGAGCCACCGTCAGTAATACCCACATACATTTATAATGGTCCATTCAGTTTACCTTTCTTTCCTCTGTCATGTCCATGTAGTTGTTCTTGAAGCTCGCTAGCATTAGTGGATCCTATTAGGCTAAACGTTGTGCAATAATTTGGGACATGTAGCCTATTTGAATCATTATGGAACTCAAACCACACCTAGAATGTTAAACCTGGAGCCTGGTGCACGGTTCACGACGACTGGACCGTTGTCATACAGTTCCATGATTAGTGAGGAATAGGGTAGATTTCTAGGACTATTGTTCAACCCTTATTGTACACTGCTTTCTACCTTCCAATATTTCATGGTTTGAACTTGAATATGACAACTTTCAGGATGAATCAAGCCACTGTATTTTGGATTCATCAATATATTTTGTGCATAAAGGCTTTTTTTATGATTCATACATTCTTTTCTAACCCCAAAATTTGCCTAAATAATCTACAAGATCAGAGTATTTTTTAATCTACCAGTTGGTGCTGAAACTGAGATGAATATGCATATATTTAGATGGCTTTCTTTCATTGATCCCTAATATTCTGAACCTGTTCTCTCTATGTATTTTAGTGAGTCTGTCGATAAAATTAAAGATACACCGTATTTAAAGGGATGGCTTAAGGTAAATGTACTGAAAACCCTATTGAATTAAAACTCCAGGAGAAAATCTGTTGGCCAGCAAGTGGGAGAGTTTTCAGCAGTTGAATTAAATGTCTTCAGTGCGCAAGGGAACCACGCCTGCAAAGCCCGTTACACAAATGCATAAGGCAAGTCTGAATACCACCTACTGAGAAGTGCGTAGGAAAGGCGTGCGTAGGAAAGGCGTAAATTGCCTAAGTCTGAATTGGGCCCTAATATGAACATGCCCACAGAATGGTTTACCTGAGGAACTTGTTGAGGTCCCCGTGCTTCATATACTCAAACACCATGATGAGGGGGTCGCTCTCCACACACACACCGTAGAACGTGACAATGTGCTGGTGCTGCAGGTTGGTCAGCAACTCGGCCTCCCGGTGGAAGTCCTTCCTTGCATTCTCACTGGCCTCTTTCAGGGTCTGAACTCACAAACACACACACGCACACAGGTTACTACCTATGTTTACTCAGAACTGAGTTTTTTAGACACCGAAAACATCATACTTAAACATTTTGCACACTGTGCATGGAGACTACTTACTGGCAATACATTTTTACTGGGAGGGGAATATTCTGCCACAAGATGTTTTTGGCTCAAGTCCACCAAGTGCAGACATAAGTAACTCTTAAAGTAAAAGTGAGTTATAGGAACTTAACCATAGCCCACAATTTTAGCTTATTGGTAATGACCAAGCAGAGATGTTGTATACTTATGTACAGCAAGCTCAGTATTATTTACAGAAGTAGTGTGGTTAGTTCTCGTGTTCTGATCTTTGCATTAGTGATCGTAAATCATGAAATCTGTCATAGCGATTTAAGTGCAGAGGCGAGAGAGAGAGAGAGAGAGAGAGAGAGAGAGAGTGTTTCAGGAAATGTAATAGGAACAGGAGAGAGCTAAGGAAGCCAAAGGATGACCCTCTGTTCTGACCCCCAGCTAGAACGCTGAGATGGCAGAAAAATAGATTCCTCCACCCCCATCTTCAACCAATTAGATTTCAGGAAACAGAACTCGTCAATTTGATCAGAACAGAACTGGAAATGGATGAGTTTCAGAGCTGACATGGTACTTTGTTTCTCTTAACGACCCAGACCCACGCCACTACAAGAACATTAAAGTGCTTTGACAAATTCTGAAGTTCATTCACATATAGAAGATTGACCGCTAAACATTGATTTGGCATTGTTACTTTCTTGGGGCTGGGTTGTTCAGAGGAATAAAAGTGCCAAATTAGCTACAAAGATTTCAGGAAACTCACCCCTGAATGTGATTTACCTATGACACTGTATGTTCGCCGGAACGTTGGAGCATTGAATCGCCTGTGTGACTGCTAGCATCTTTGCATGACTGCCAACGCATTAGCTAATGTCACTCTGTTCCGTATCGTGATCGATGGCTCCCTTGTGAGTTTGACCATAAACATGGAAGCTTAGCCTATATGGCAGCATGCCTGTCCAATGTTTGCTTGTAAAACTACTACCATTAGTGGATATGAGTATGTTAGACCGTAGAAGCAGCAACTCGGAAATCTATCATCTTCAATGGCAGGTTTCTTGTAGATACAGGACATACTGCCCTGCCACTCAAGCCCCACTTCACAATTAGAATGTGGTGGGACACAGGAAGGACAGGAAGTCATGGGGAAGGGGTTCTCTCCCATGCCATGTTTTTTTAATGAAAACTCTCCTATAAGATCTAATTTCACCACATACTTTGAATGCTGGAATTCTTGGTGGAAGCAGGCCATTGGCCGATTTTCCTACAGGAGTATCTAGGGGGTAGAGTCTAGAGGTCCATTTGGAAATTGGCCAAATGATGTAGCCTACAGTGGGTTGTGATAGACTTGAAAGAGCTGGGTTACCTTGACAGCCACCAGGATTTTTTCGAGCTCAGGAGACAGGTTGTAGCACTCGGCCAGGAAAACCTTCCCAAACGCCCCCTCTCCCAACTCCCTCTTCAGCACTATGTTGTGCCTCTTGATGTGCTGGACAACTGCAACACAGAGAGAACCTAGTTATTACATATATCAGTGTGACTTCCTAATATGAATGCCGTAATCAGTATATATCTTAGATGAGAAGAGATTATGTCTTATGGTTGGATTAGGGGACTGGGAGCCGTCATTGGTTGCACTGAATGATCTATCTACTATTTCGTTTTCTTGATGAGCTGTATTGTCTTATCACTGTGTTTTCAACTGAAAGTGAAAGTTTCACTATTAGTTTTGTGTTCTGTCTTTTTATTGTGATTATAGTAACATCATGTTGTACAGCGCTAGCTCAGCTTTGTCTCTCAGCATGTGTAATAGCTATCAAGTGGGAATCGTCAGAAATAGATGTTTGAAAGTCTATTTGAAATAGCGATTTTTGACTGAACAAATGCTGAAATCTGGCTGGTGGTGATAGAGTAGTGGGATTCTCCCAGTGCTTTGTCCCAGAGTTGTTTTCATGCAGACAGATGCTCTGTACCCACTTAACTCAACCCAGTGCTCCCTCTATAGCGCAAGGACAGTGGAGAACACCAAAACATATTAATCAGTAGGTTACTGTCTTCAGAGAGAAACAGGACACAAACCGTCAAGATTTATTTCTGATCTGATTAAGAAATGCATTTGAAGAAAAGCTCACCACTCAGGCTATTGTATTGTGGAGGGCTAGACTTTGAAGCTGCATCGAGCTGCACTAACCAAGCCATGAGGTCGAAGGAATTGTCCATAGAGCTCCGAGACAGGATTGTGTCGAGGCACAGATCTGGGGAAGGTTACCAAAAAATGTCTGCAGCATTGAAGGTCCCCAAGAACACAGTGGCCTCCATCATTCTTAAATGGAAGAAGTTTGGAACCACCAAGACTCTTCCTAGAGCTGGCCGCCCGGCCAAACTAAGCAATCGGGGGAGAAGGGCCTTGGTCAGGGAGGTGACCAAGAACCCGAGGGTCAGTGACAGAGCTCCAGAGTTCCTCTGTGGAGATGGGAGAACCTTCCAGAAGGACAACCATCTCTGCAGCACTCCACCAATCAGGCCTTTATGGTAGAGTGGCCAGACGGAAGCCACTCCTCAGTAAAAGGCACATGACAGCCCGCTTGGAGTTTGCCAAAAGGCACCTTAAGACTCTCAGACCATGAGAAACAAGATTCTCTGGTCTGATGAAACCGAGATGGAACTCATTGGCCTGAATGGCAAGTGTCACGTCTGGACTAAACCTGGCACCATCCCTAGGGTGAAGCTCGGTGGTGGCAGCATCATGCTGTGGGGATGTTTTTCAGCGGCAGGGACTGGGAGACTAGTCAGGATCGAGGCAAAGATGAACAGTGCAAAGTACAGAGAGATCCGTGATGAAAACCTGCTCCAGAGCGCTCAGAACCTCAGACTGGAGAGAAGGTTCACCTTCCAACAGGACAACGACCCTAAGCACACAGCCAAGACCACGCAGGAGTGGCTTCGGGACAAGTCTCTGAATGTCCCAGCCCAGCCATCTAACATCTCTGGAGAGACCTGAAAATAGCTGTGCAGCAACGCTCCCCATCCAACCTGACAGGGCTTGAGAATATCTGCAGAAAAGAATGGGAGGATCTCCCCAGATACAGGTCTGCCAAGCTTGTAGCATCATACCCAAGAAGACTTGAGGCTGTAATCACCGCCAAAGGTGCTTCAACAAAGTACTGAGTAAAGGATCTGAATACTTATGTAAGGGTCTGAATATTTTTTTTATAAATTCGCAAATATTTCTAAAAACCTATTTTTGCTTTGTCATTATGGGGTATTATGTGTAGATTGATGAGGGAAAAAAACAATTTAATCCATTTTAGAATAAGGCTGTTACGTAACAAAATGTGGAAAAAGTCAAGGGGTCTGAATACTTTCCGAATGCACTGTGTGTGTGTGTGTGTGTGTGTGTGTGTGTGTGTGTGTGTGTGTGTGTGTGTGTTTGCGTGTATCTCTCGTTCTTAATGAGCTTTGTCCACTCTAATGGAGTGGACAAACTAATGGAGGCTATTGATCTGTTTCTAAGATATTAGAGTCACACCCACTCCCCTGACATAATACCTTACCTACACTGTTTCCCTCTTCTTCATCAAACTGAATACGACATTTACACACACACACACACACACACACACACACACACACACACACACACACACACACACACACACACACACACACACACACACACACACACACACACACAGCTGTACAGTATTGACTGACATTTTATGTTTTTCTGGGGCTCATAAATCTATTTTGGTGATTTGCTGCAGACACAAGTCAGACCACAGCTCTCTCACCATTGGCCCAGACAGGAGAAGACAGCGGAGACACACACTGTGTGTAACTCAGACCTACACAGAGACACATTCCTATTGTAGAGGCCTCTGCAAATCATCTGCTCAGGAACTTGTGTCCTCTTTAAGAGGCATGACCTTCAATTTGATGGATTAGATAGATACAACTACACAGCTGACAAGTGGGATTGACACACACAAACACACACACGGAGCGCTGCCTGTCCCACTCAACACATTTTATCAGCAGCTCCAGTGCCATTTCCATAGCAGCGGAGAGAGTGTTGCTAAGGCAACCAGCACATACGTACATTCTGGTGTGGGTTCTTAGATGGCGTCTATGTGTTGGTGCAACAGATTCATGGTGACGTCAGCACTCAGATCCTCTGAGATCTCCTAGTTTGCAAACTATTCTTCTTTGCTACAGCCTAGTAGGCTATGTCTTGTTACCCATTAAAAGGAACTGTTGGTAAAAGAAAGCCATTTGTATGTGTGTTGTGTGAGTGTATACATGCGTGTGTGTGTGTCTGTGCGTGTGTGTCTAAGCCATGGTCTTGTTGTACTCACAAGTGTCTGATTTGAGCATGCTGTTGCTGCGGAAGTACTGAGGGTTCTCGATAACGGGGATCTTGGTCATGCCGATGATGACCGCGTCTAGGCCCATCTCAGAGGAGGATGGAGTGTTACTGCCATTGGACACGTGGTGGAGAGGAGAGGCTGAGTCGTCATCGTTACTGATCACCGACGACGCACCTGAGAGAGAGGAGAGGAGAGAGGAGAGGAGAGAGGAGAGGAGAGGAGAGGAGAGAGGAGAGGAGAGAGGAAAGGAGAGAGGAGAGAGGAGAGGAGAGAGGAGAGGAATTAAGTGTGAGTGAAAGTAAAAGGGAGAGGAAGAGAGAAAGAGAGGATAGGAGAGAAGAGAAGAGAAGAGAAGAGAAGAGAAGAGAAGAGAAGAGAAGAGAAGAGAAGAGAAGAGAAGAAGTGGTGTTTGAGGAAAATTAAGGTGGAAGAATGAAATAAAAATAAATGGAAGAGGCATGTTTTTGTTTTTACAAAAAGTATGAAGCTCAGTTCCATACCAATCACCATATCCTTCCTTGTTCATGAGTTTCTGAGATATGAGGTATCACTGATCACATTATCATCATTACATTTTACATTTTAGTCATTTATCAGACGCTCTTGTCATTATTATTTATTTTTTTCATTCATCATGATATTATCAACGGGCTACTCCAAGAAGAACACATTATACGTCCCTAAAAAACCTCCCTAACCTAAGACACTATATCCGTCTGTAGATGTGCATGTCAAAACCCATATCCAAAGTACGCAATATGGGTATAACGGCATTTTATATGCAATGTTACCACAGGTAATACTCAAATATTGTTAAATAAGGTATGTTTGAGTACATTTTTGTTAATGTCAAGGATTGCGTCTTTCTCATCTGTCCCACGAACAGAAACATGGTCTTTAAACTGGTGGAAGTTAGGGACCAAATGTCACGATCGTTGACTGAAGACACGGACCAAGGCGCAGCGTGATAAGCGTACATACTTTTATTTAACGTACTTAACGACAAAAACAACAAACAAACGATACGTGAAGTCCTGAGGTTATAACACAACAAACCTTTACGGATCAAGATCCCACAAAGACTAGTGCAAAACAGGCTGCCTAAGTATGGACCCCAATCAGAGACAACGAGCTACAGCTGCCTCTGATTGGGAACCACCCTGGCCAACATAGATCAAACGATCTAGAACAAAAACATAGAAAAACTAAACATAGCAAATCCACACCCTGGCTCAACATTTAAGAGTCCCAGAGCCAGGGCGTGACACCAAACTCTCTCAATACATGTAATTCAATTGTATCCCCTCAGGGGTAATGAATGTACAATAGTAGTTTAGATCACGATGAGAAAGAATGTGTTGATACAGTACTTTGTGAATGCGGAGAGAGTGACGGTCGGACTCTGAGCCTGAGCTCATTCCTTTATGTTTATCATTTATCTATGGACCAAATGTTGTTTCTTCTCTGGTTTCCGCTTCCACCCCAAAATAAACAATTAATATTTTATTCTCATACACACAGTCTCAATCTCTAAACACCCACGCACGCACTCACACACACCACAGTGTTGTTTTGGAGCAGTAGAGGAATAGCAGTAGTGCATTCCTAAGCAGGAAGAACAGGACAGAGAAACAAAGAGGGATTGTCTCTCAGTAGGCTTATAAGAGAGTGTGTGTGTGTGTGTGTGTGTGTGTGTGTGTGTGTGTGTGTGTGTGTGTGTGTGTGACAGTGTGGGTGGATGCTGACATGCATCCTGATCACCGGATTGTGGTGAAACATGTATAATGAAGTCAAAGGACATATCTGTCCAAACTAGCTCCCATGACCTCCAGCATTGTATTGAAAGGAAGCAACACAACCTCTGACAAATGACTACAAGACTCATGAAAAGTATTGTAGTGACCCTTACCAAGGTAGGCTAGTTACAATCTCCCTCAAGAGGGCTAACCCTAGTGGAGCAGTGGTTAACGAGTTAACTATTGGAAGAACTACCTAGTGGTATGATTTACCTTATTTCTTATTGACTAGGGCCTGGAGTTTTTTCCTTCCCATGAGACCTGACCAGGAAAACCTCTATGGGGTCCTAGTTCATGAAAAACAGTGAGGCTTGCCTCCTGGTGATTTGATAATCCATCTAAACTTTACAATCTCAAAACATCGGACCTCTTTTCGTCCAGTCCTGGTCTGCTTTTATTTGCAGTGGCTACCGTCCGTGGAGTTTCAAGCGGCGCACTGACAGTAGAGCTATACAGGGGAGCTCTTTGATTCTCCACCGATAATGACTGAGTGGTTTCGCCGCAAACAGGCTTCTCTCTCCCCCGTGGGTGCTCAAATTATGTGCCACCATTACACCTCCTCCTCCACCTCCTCTGGAAGAGCCATGATGCAGCCGCACTGTACAGTAGTGGCTGCACTGCAATGCATTGTGGAGACCGGAGAGGCGTCCATCTGACTGGACTCCACTGTTCTGGGCAGTGTAAAAAGAGACATATGTATGGATTTTCTCTGACTGAGAGCAGTGATCCAGCGAGAATGGCTAGTCTAATCAGGTTGACCTGCAGTGCAGACAGTCTGGTAGACAACAGACAGTTAGGTGATGTACCGTAAATGACTTACCAGAGACAGTGACGTCAGGCGGCCTACAGACACACCTCTCTGAACATCACAGAAACACACTCTAGGCCTGACACATTCTGGGAGCATTCAACTTCTCTTAGTCCTGTATCTCAATCAAACACCAGATACTACAGTAACTAGCGCTTTATGGTTTTCAGCCATGACATTAGAGAGAGGGCATGTGGTTAAAATGTGTATTTATTTCACACACACACGCACGCTTGCACGCACACGCACACACACTGCATCCCAAGCAGGTTATTGTCTGTAAGTGTGTGTGTCGGGGGGACTCATCATTAGCGGTGAGGTCTAGGGTCAGATCATTATAAACACTACAGGTCGGTGGGCCACGGAGGTCATAAGTGGGGTCAGGTCCTGACCTAACACACTTTAACAGACAGAGCTGCTCTAATGCAGGGGTGGGCTGGGGTTTGGAGACTCTGTTACTATATTGATCTCCTCTGGCTCGCTGGGCGCTCCTCCTTAAGAAAGACAGACAGACAGACTGACAGCAGCATACCATTTATTGGACATGGGGTTTAAGGGCTGCTGGGGTTATGGACATGTGGAGTGTATTAAACGGCTTAAAAGGACATCATGTCTATCAGTGTCGTTAAAACGAGGTGAGATCTCTTAAACCCTGGTGTGAGGAAATCAAATAACATTTTATTTGCCACGTGCCAAATACAACAGGTGTAGACTTGATTGTGAAATGCTTGCTTATAAAATTATAATAAAAAGAAAAATATGTACACAATAGAGGAATAAAATACACAAGAATAGAGATATGTACAGGGAGTACCAGATCAGTGTGCAGGGGTACGACGTATAATAATAATATGCCATTTAGCAGACGCTTTTATCCAAAGCGACTTACAGTCATGCGTGCATACATTTATTTGTGTATGGGTGGTCCCGGGGATCGAACCCACAACCTTGGCGTTACAAGCGCCGTGCTCTACCAGCTGAGCTACAGAGGACCACGTATTTGAGATAGATATGTAAACGAAGGCAGGAGGAACAATGTGTTTCTCGTCCACTTCAGACACGCTCAGTGCTAACCGGCAGTGATGACCGGTTAAATGTCCTGTCATCCCTCTGGCCCAGTGAGCCGCCCCCGCCCCCGTCCCCTTGCCCTCCAGCAGCTAACCTTGCTGAACACATGAAGTGATCTATTGAGCTCACAGACACAGAGGAAAGGAGGGATGGAGGGATAGGAAGAGAGAGAAAAACGTATGGAGGAATGAGAGGAGAGGGGGAGAGAAAGGAAGGTTATGAGCATGGAGAGATGGGGGGAAAGGAGATGAGGAGGGGGTCGATGGACAGATTAATTAATTGAACAGGGGAGAGAGAAGGATGAAGGGATGAAGACTAATGGAGATGGAAGGAAGGATACAATTTCATTTACACTGCAATTTAATGACAGGCTCTGAATCCAGCCCTCTCACTACCTGACAGAACAGGACCTAGCCGCAGTCTGCAGCATATCAGATTCCTAACTGACCTCCCCCTCCATGTAAAAATATAGATTTCTCTCTCTCTCTCTCTCTCTCACACTCTCTCACTCTCTCTGTCAGTGCTTTTCTATTTTTAATAAACAAACCCCATTCAACTTTTCATGTGACGCCAGGGAGACCGGCTCACCTCCTCTCACTTAAAACATGCGAAGGTGACGAGAGAAAAGGAGAGGAGGAATAATGAGAAGGAAAGAGAAAGAGAAACAGACAAAGAACATACATAGTTTCTCCTCCTACTATTAGCCGTCCATTGTTTGTCTTGGGAATGAAAGGCTGTGTGTGGTGCTGCACTCTGTAGGTTCCATGATGTGCCGCATGTTGACTGGCAACTTTAATTCACACGTAGGAGTGGACGGATTACATTTTGACAGTCCAGTCCGATGGTCATTGAGGGCTTTAAATGCCCCATTTCAGCAAGTGTGTGTGTGTGTGTGTGCGCATGCGTGTGTGTGTGTGATGTCACTGCATCGCTCAGGGTCAGTGTGTGGTCAGAATGTGTGGATGAGCTTCTACAAAACCAAAACTCACACACACTCTGAACAGGAGGAGGAACGACAGAGAGGGAGGACACTCCAGAAAAAAGCTTTCACTTCAATTGTATTCAATGTGTTCCAATTGTTTTTATTGTCTATGAGTGAGCCTCAATATGCCTCTAGGATATGACGTAAAACACTACAGCAATCAATCCCATCATGTATAGCACAACCACATAAAACACTCACAAGAGGCTCTTGACCCTGGATATTCCAGCAAGTATAAAAACACATTTTATATTGCATATTGGAGTGTATACACATATGCCAATAGAAAAACAATTTTAAGATGCACTTCCAGTTTAATAAACGTTAGTTAATACAGTATTTCACTTTCCCAGTGTTAGAATGATTATCTAATTTCTCTTCCAAAAAATATAGCACTTAAATATGTACAAATATGTGCAATACATGTTGATATACTATATGTCCTGGTAAAAGAAGGTTAATGGTTTTCCTATTGAAGTGTAATGGTTTGTAACTGTATTTCATGGAAGTTGTCTGATAAAAGTGTCTCAACAGTGACCCTGTAACATCCTCAATTAAATACTCTCCATACATCAAACCTGACTTCCATTTGAACTGAAGTTTTAATGAGCGTGTGTGTTTTACACTTTTATGTATGATGAAAGTATTATGGGTGATGAGATGTAGGTATGACCCTGTATGTTTTAGATCATGTGTTAGCATGTGGAGATATGTATAGAATATACAGTATGCATGGCTAGGTGTGTACTATATGGGTACATGTAAGTGTGTGTGTTTTCCATGTTTGTAAATGTGTAAAGTAGTATGTGTGTGCTATGTTTGTTTGCACTGTAAGTGTGTGTGTGTATGTGTGTGTGTATGCATGCTGGGGGAATTCTACTTTGATAATTAATTTAACACGCAGTCTTCCAGGGTGGGTGGTGGTGGTGTGTGGATGTGGACCAGATGTAGGTTAATGGCTGTCTCATCTCGACCCCTGTGCTCTGCATTATTCATCTACAGAGAGGCTTTAAGGGTCTCACCACCAAACCTCCTCCTGATTGGACGGCCGGCACCTCTACTGGACCTATAGCTCACCTTTACTGTGCAGTGTACACCTCAACCATCAAACTGTATTTACACGACACCTTCCTGCTAGTTCTCTCTCTCTCTCTCTCTCTCTCTCTCTCTCTCTCTCTCTCTCTCCTCTCTCTCTCTCTCTCTCTCTCTCTCTCTCTCTCTCTCTCTCTCTCTCTCTCTCTCTCTCTCTCTCTCTCTCTCTCTCTCTCTCTCTCTCTCTCTCTCTCTCTCTCTCTCTCTCTCTCTGTGTCTCTCTGTGTGTTTGGGACTCCATCTCTCCTAGCGCCCAACCACCTCCATGGGAACGTTATGAAATAACACAAAGCCTGAAGGAAAACACAAACAAAATAACTAAAATGAGCAGCAACATAAATGACATCATAATCATGACAGTGATCAAAATAATAAAACAAATCATGTGTGATCAGAAATTATACATTCTACGCATACCTAATTGTAAAACATCCCCCAAAAGTAGAAAGTAGGTCCCAGTTGCTGGTAGACATCAGTGCTTAGTAGAGTTAGTGGGATCAACAGCACTGAGTGGTGGGTTAAGGTCGCTTAGTGAATTAGTCCAGTGCAGAGGCAGGTGGAAAGAAACAGTACATATAGATATACACTACCGTTCAAAAGTTTGGGGTCACTTAGAAATGTCCTTGTTTTCGAAAGAAAATTATTTATTTTGTCCATTAAAATAACATCAAATTGATCAGAAATACAGTGTAGACATTGTTAATGTTGTAAATGGCTATTGTAGCTGAAAACGGCTGGTTTTTTAAGGAATATCTATATAGGCGTACAGAGGCCCATTATCAGCAACCATCAGTCCTGTGTTCCAATGGCACATTGTGTTTGCTAATCCAAGTTTATCATTTAAAAAGGCCAATTGATCATTAGAAAACCCTTTTGCAATTATGTTAGCACAGCTGAAAACGGTTGTGCTGATTAAAGAAGCAATAAAACTGGCCTTCTTGAGACTAGTTGAGTATCTGGAGCATCAGCAATTGTGGGTTCGATTACAGGCTCAAAATGGCCAGAAACAAATAACTTTCTTCTGAAACTCGTTAGTCTATTCTTGTTCTGAGAAATGAAGGATATTCCATGCGAGACATTGCCAAGAAACTTAAGATCTCGTACAACGCTGTGTACTACTCCCTTCACAGAACAGCGCAAACTGGCTCTAACCAGAACAGAAAGAGGAGTGGGAGGCCCAACTGAGCAAGAGGACAAATACATTAGTGTCTAGTTTGAGAAACAGACGCCTCACAGGTCCTCAACTGGCAGCTTCATTAAATAGTACCCGCAAAACACCAGTCTCAACGTCAACAGTGAAAAGGCAACTCCGGGATGCTGACCTTCTAGGCAGAGTTGCAAAGAAAAAGCCATATCTCAGACTGGGCAATAAAAATAAAAGATTAAGATGGGCAGTCTGAGATATGGCTTTTTCTTTGCAACTCTGCCTAGAAGGTCAGCATCCCGGAGTCACCTCTTCACTGTTGACGTTGAGAATGGTGTTTTGCGGGTACTATTTAATGAAGCTGCCAGTTGAGGACCTGTGAGGCGTCTGTTTCTCAAACTAGACACTCTAATGTATTTGTCCTCTTGCTCAGTTGTGCACCGGGGCCTCCCACTCCTCTTTCTATTCTGGTTAGAGCCAGTTTGCGCTGTTCTGTGAAGGGAGTAGTACACAGCGTTGTACGAGATCTTTCGTTTCTTGGCAATTTCTTGCATGGAATAGCCTTCATTTCTCAGAACAAGAATAGACTGACGAGTTTCAGAAGAAAGTTATTTGTTTCTGGCCATTTTGAGCCTGTAATCGAACCCACAATTGCTGACGATCCAGATCCTCAACTAGTCTCAAGAAGGCCAGTTTTATTGCTTCTTTAATCAGCACAACAGTTTTCAGCTGTGCTAACATAATTGCAAAAGGGTTTTCTAATGATCAATTAGCCTTTTAAAATGATAAACTTGGATTAGCAAACACAACATGCCATTGGAACACAGGACTGATGGTTGCTGATAATGGACCTCTGTATGCCTATGCAGATATTCCATTAAAAATAAGCCCTTTCCAGCTACAATAGCCATTTACAACATTAACAATGTCTACACTGTATTTCTGATCAATTTGATGTTATTTTAATGGACAAAATAAATAATTTTCTTTCGAAAACAAGGACATTTCTAAGTGACCCCAAACTTTTAAACGGTAGTGTATATATACAGTAAGGATGTGAATGTTAAAGGGTTTACAGCGCAGAGCTAAACAGTACTATAAGCATGGTGCAAGTATTCAAGGCAATTTAGAGACGTACACATTCAGGTAGTTACACACATCCACCTTCAACTGTTTTCCCTCTCACCCAAGGCTTAACCACGACATGTAAAGACACACTGTGTCATCACACCCCAGAAAACAACACAACATTGTTCTTCTCAGACTTTTATGGCTGACACACAACGGTTGCCCCCTGGCTTGTTATTGGAAATGAATCGAAGTGGCAGAATGGGAGCTGACAGATTATCATTATTATTTTCCATCTGTCAGGGAGTGGAGGAGTAGAGGGCAAGGAGACAGCCAAAAACAATCCCCTCATTGCCATCTGGAACAGTAAGAAGGGATTGGAATGTTTTTTGTTCCTTGTGTCGAAACCATCAACTGTCTGCTGCACACTCACACAAACATGTTACACAACCTAGGTGTCCTAATGGCTCACGGCAGTCCCATCAAAATCTTCTGAACATCACTCTCTGGCCACGGTCCTTCCTTGCCAACTCATCACACCTGTATCCATCTCCACTAATCGTGTGTGTGTGTGAGCGTGTGTGATGGTGAGTCACTCTTTAAGCTTGGCCAGCAATAATGATTCATATTTGGAGCAACGTTGGTGATGACATGCGTATCCATGGCAACAGCATGCAGTGGGCTACTGGGGCCGTCCCCCTTCTATGTCATATTGCAGTCCTCCTGAAAACTACTCAATGCCACTCAACACTGCTCGATGCAACTCAATAACATCCAATAGAACTCAACACTACTACACACAACTCAGAAACACCGGATCCTGATCAACACAACTCAACAACACTGAATACTTTGATACTCATCAACACAAATTAGTATTTCAGTCAATTGGTAGACATCTGTCCCAGTTTACACTAATTACTACTTAGTATTCAATAGTCCCTTCACTGAACGCAACTAACTGCAGCTGATTTCTCCCCACTAGGGAACACTCAGTACTAGAACACCACACACACACACACACGCACACACACTGTGACTGAGCGCCTGAACAGAGCTGCTGACCTTAGCGAAACAGTGTGATGTGAAGGCCCAAGACTCAATAGGCCTGAGAGGCATCTGCTTCAGACAGACAGGCCTGAGATCAGTCGATAAATTAAGCTTTATCTACTGTAGTGCAGTTCCCAATAGCACAGCCCAGTGCGCTGTATAGAGCTGTGACTGCACAGAGACGTGGACAGAGGAGTACCTCAGAGCAGCATGACACACAGCTGCTCCATAAATACTAACTAATTAACATGGACTGAATTACAGGACATTTACATTGCTGAAAATGATCAAGGTCCAAAATAAAAGCATTGATGCAAAGGGGCAGCAATAGGGGTGAGCCTAGAGCTGTTGCGGTGACCGTATTACCGCCACACCGGCGGTCAGGAGTCATGAAGGCAGTCAAATTCCACGTGACCGTTTAGTCACGGTAATTAGGCTTCTCCAAGCTCTGATGCTGCTGATGGTCATTAGTAGCCTACCAAACTTGCTAACTGCCTGGTACTCAGCACTCTATTGTCCCTCTAATCACTCTGACATCAATGCAAATGTAATCGAATATCTAATCAAACACTTCATGAGAGCCCATAAGCTCATGTTGCGCAACATTTCTATAGGCTATGCAATTGAGGGAGAAAACAGAGTGATGGCCTCTACTAAAAAGAGGAGGATCCCATCAGCTTTCTATAGACTAGGCCTACTATATTTATTTCTCTACTTTCCTAATATTAAGCACATCAGGACCTAACATATGTATGCTATTCTTTTCTTCTGAAATAGACTACATTTTCTTCATATCATGCTTCTTTAGACCTGTCTAAAATAAATAATGGATTTATTGAGAAGGTGTAGGCTATATTACATGGATTTATGTGACTTTTTAAAATGTAGATGTTCCAAAGGACTACATCAGTGGCTTGTAGGCTATGTGTGGAAGCCAGGAGATGCTAAATGTGTTTATGTTAATTAACAGTCAATTACCGTGAGACCGACAGTTATTTGCTTGACAATCACCGGCTGACGAAATTTCGTGACCGCCACAGCCCTAGATGAGCCCAAGTAAAACTGATGGGGTCCATACTTGCGAACATTCGATTTTTAAAATGTATTTAACCTGCGCATCAGCCAATTATAATCGTTGACATAGTTGCACGTGATAGAATGCTACATTGTAGCTGGTCCCATCAGATAACCTGGCACACGTTAGCCCTATGCTAACCTCACCAGCTGACCATTATTATTTCCTGTAACAAATTCCGCATCAGCCTATCAAAGATCTTAGACTTTATATCCACCAACCAATGGCATTTCTTAGAATAGGTCAACTTGGCCTCAACTTGGCCACCAGATGGATATTTTAAACCTCCAAATTCAAGGTTTACTTTTGTTCCACTTGTTCTGTCTCCAGTGTAGAGTGACAATATTGCATGATGATGCATCCTTGACTAGGCTACTAGCTACTAACCTTAGACAAAATTCAAAAAGGCACGTTTTTGCATATATGACAAAATCCCATGTTTTTGCTCATCCGTTTCACACACATCCATGTGCCTTTACGGAAAAAAAGATAAAGGAGGTCTATACAACATTAAGTTTGTCGTACATCATAATATTATTTATTTTTTACGTCAAAAAGCCTTATGGACTTGTCAAATAGCTGTCATGTACAGTGGGGGAAAAAAGTATTTAGTCAGCCACCAATTGTGCAAGTTCTCCCACTTAAAAAGATGAGAGAGGCCTGTAATTTTCATCATAGGTACACGTCAACTATGACAGACAAATTGAGAAAAAAAATCCAGAAAATCACATTGTAGGATTTTTAATGAATTTATTTGCAAATTATGGTGGAAAATAAGTATTTGGTCACCTACAAACAAGCAAGATTTCTGGCTCTCACAGACCTGTAACTTCTTCTTTAAGAGGCTCCTCTGTCCTCCACTCGTTACCTGATTTAATGGCACCTGTTTGAACTTGTTATCAGTATAAAAGACACCTGTCCACAACCTCAAACAGTCACACTCCAAACTCCACTATGGCCAAGACCAAAGAGCTGTCAAAGGACACCAGAAACAAAATTGTAGACCTGCACCAGGCTGGGAAGACTGAATCTGCAATAGGTAAGCAGCTTGGTTTGAAGAAATCAACTGTGGGAGCAATTATTAGGAAATGGAAGACATACAAGACCACTGATAATCTCCCTTGATCTGGGGCTCCACGCAAGATCTCACCCCGTGGGGTCAAAATGATCACAAGAACGGTGAGCAAAAATCCCAGAACCACACGGGGGGTCCTAGTGAATGACCTGCAGAGAGCTGGGACCAAAGTAACAAAGCCTACCATCAGTAACACACTACGCCGCCAGGGACTCAAATCCTGCAGTGCCAGACGTGTCCCCCTGCTTAAGCCAGTACATGTCCAGGCCCGTCTGAAGTTTACTAGAGTGCATTTGGATGATCCAGAAGAGGATTGGGAGAATGTCATATGGTCAGATGAAACCAAAATAGAACTTTTTGGTAAAAACTGAACTCGTCGTGTTTGGAGGACAAAGAATGCTGAGTTGCATCCAAAGAACACCATACCTACTGTGAAGCATGGGGGTGGAAACATCATGCTTTGGGGCTGTTTTTCTGCAAAGGGACCAGGATGACTGATCCGTGTAAAGGAAAGAATGAATGGGGCCATGTATCGTGAGATTTTTAGTGAAAACCTCCTTCCATCAGCAAGGGCATTGAAGATGAAACGTGGCTGGGTCTTTCAGCATGACAATGATCCCAAACACACCGCCCGGGCAATGAAGGAGTGGCTTCGTAAGAAGCATTTCAAGGTCCTGGAGTGGCCTAGCCAGTCTCCAGATCTCAACCCCATAGAACATCTTTGGAGGGAGTTGAAAGTCTGTGTTGCCCAGCGACAGCCCCAAAACATCACTGCTCTAGAGGAGATCTGCAAAATACCAGCAACAGTGTGTGAAAACCTGTGTAATTGCCAACAAAGGGTATATAACAAAGTATTGAGAAACTTTTGTTATTGACCAAATACTTATTTTCCACCATAATTTGCAAATAAATTCATTAAAAATCCTACAATTTGATTTTCTGGATTTCTTTTCCTCATTTTGTCTGTCATAGTTGACGTGTACCTATGATGAAAATTACAGGCCTCTCTCATCTTTTTAAGTGGGAGAACTTGCACAATTGGTGGCTGACTAAATACTTTTTTTCCCCACTGTACCATCTTTATCATTGCTTCCTGGTAACACACACTGCTAAAGCAGTTGACTTTAAAAAGACAGTGCACATTAACTGTGGGTTCGAGCCCCCCTCGCATTAAGCATTTTCGTTAAGGAAAACACTGTTCACTGCTGGTCCTCGATGCTTGATTAAAATAACACATATGTGACTAAGTGGATGATTATAATAATACATATAAATGTAAGTGTAGCCTACACGTCTATTTAATATAGCCTATAGTAGCGACAATTATTTATATAGCAGTGCCAGTAGCCTCCGTGTCAGTCTGCAAGAAGGACTCCAACAAGAAGCTCCTCATTAAATGTATTATTTTCTTCTCAACACACTAATACAATAAATGTAATTCTACATTTCAAAGGGGGAAAAAACTAATGTGGGATTTGAACCCTTGCCACAATCTGCGACAAATACGAGGATCTAGGCGGTGAGTGTACAAAACATTAAGAACAGCTGTTTTGTACACTCACGTGTATATGACCAGTCAGTTAAACATGTGATCTAGTACCCGAACGTACCGTTGGACTTCTGTTATGTGTGCTTTCATAAACAAGTGTTGGATCACGTCCAACTACGTCTGTGATTTTAATTGGCTGATACGGAATTTAAACCGGATACAATCACAGGGCTAAGTCTGCCAGGTTATCTTATGGGAAAAGTTGACATATAGCGTTGGATCACGCCAAACTACGTCAATTTAAATTGGCTGATGCGCATTTTGAGACGGAGGTCCAGGTTAAACGTAAACCTTTTCTAATGTTCGCAAATATGGCCCCAGCATGTCATAGAGCCAGGAGTTTATCCTTCCCATGTGGCCTGAGCAGGACAAATTGCTCTAGGAAAAGGAAGAGAAGGTTGTGACTAGGCCATGAGTTAATACTCTAACACACTCAGCGACAACAATACATTTCCTGTCGCTATGGGAGAGGGAAGAGATCTGCTGTTGTCTGTCCAGTCGGCACATCTCTCACACACACATTGACCTCTGACCCCTCAAGTGGGCACTTTATCTGTGATTGACCAAGGAGAGACGAGTGACGTCAAACTCCCACAGGCTGTCACAAAAGCATTCCACACATGTCTCAAGCACTCAGAGGGAAGAGTGTGTGTGTGTTTGTGTGTGTGTCCCTGCATCATGCTTGTGTCCTCCCAGGCATTGAACCTAGGTAATCTGCGTACTTCCATACGGATAGCCCATTGAGCTAAAGCCTACATCAGCTCTGGGAGCACAAGTCTTCCGGTCTATGGCAAGGTTACTCATCGCCGTAGTGCCTGTGTAGTTCACTGAACCACCTCCACTATATGTGCCTGTGGTCCTCTGGAGACCTATGGAACCATGGGCCCTGTTCTGTACAGATCCCCACAAAGGTAGTGCAGGGAGCGAGGGAGGTCCATGAAGGCAGGAATGGAACGGGGCCTAAGTGTGCTCTGCAGGAGGAGGAGAACACGCAGCGTGAGCATAGTCTGTCGAGTCCTATCAGAGATACTTCTGACCTTGAGAGAGATGTATTGATCATCCAGCACTCTTCCAAACCCAGAGAAAACTGATACCTGCCTTCCTGAATCATTGATAAGCATACAGTGCTCCCTCTCTCTTCTCTCTCTTTTTTGCCATTCCAAAGAAAAGTTCATTATCAAACCAACCAAGATTGTTTTAAAGGTCCAATGCAGCTGTTTTTTATCTCAGTATCAAATCATTTCTGGGTAACAATTAAGTACCTTACTTTCTCAAGCAAGTATTTTACTAGGAATGTCTGGGAGTGGTCTGAGTGGGGAGGGGAAAACTGAAAACTAGCTGTTATTGGCAGAGAGGTTTGAACTCTATTTCTTATTGGTCTATTATCTAATTTACTGCTTGGTGATGTCACCATGGAAGGCCAAAACTCCATCCCACCAAAATGTCACAGTGTTATTCCAACCTTATAGTGTGGAAATATACACTGAGTGTACAAAACATTATGAACATGACATAGACTGACCAGGTGAATCCAGGCGAAAGCTATGATCCCTTTTTGATGTCACTTGTTAATTCCACTTCAATCAGTGTAGATGAAGGGGAGGAGACAGGTTAAAGAAGGATTTTTAAGCCTTGAGACAATTGAGACATGGATTGTGTATGTGTGCCATTCAGAGGGTGAATGGGCAAGACAAAAGATACAAGTGCCTTTGAACGGGGTATGGTAGTAGGTGCCAGGCGCACCGGTTTGAGTCAAAAACTGCAACGCTGCTGGGTTTTTCACGCTCAACAGTTTCTCGTGTGTATCAAGAATGGTCCACCTCCCAAAGGACATCCAGCCAACTTGCCACAACTGTGGGAAGCATTGCAGTCAACATTGGCCAGCATCTCTGTGGAATGCTTTCGACACCTTGTAGAGTCCATGCCCCGACGAATCGAGAATGTTCTGAGGGAAAAAGTGGGTGCAACTCAATATTAGGAAGGTGTTCCTAATGTTTTGTACACCCAGTGTATATAAAACACAGGAAAATCACATATTTGACAGCACTGGGCATTTAAGGTTCAGAGGAACAGGTTAAAGTCTGTTTGTCATGTAACAACATATTTGTAAAGACCAATTTAGACAGATACTCTAATTAAAATGTATCTTGGCAAACAAACACAGATTTAGAACATTTGACCAATACCTGACAAACCTTTTTTTCTCTGACGCCCATCACAGAAAATGATTTAGAACTTATTCTATACATAGACTAACATTTTCTGAATTAGTAACACAGAAATCTGCCTCCTTAACTCTCTGGACACACACATACACACACACGCACGCATGCACACATTCATATTGACTCTCACAAAGTGTAAAATACATGAACAACTTAAATCTACACGCACATAAGACAGTGTCGAGTAAAAAAAGAGTAACCTCCGATCCTTACTGTACTCTACGTCTTATTGATGACAGTAGAGCAGTAGCAGGCTGATATTAATTTTTTAAAATGTATTATTTTATTATGTATTCCACTCTTTTACTGTATGTGTGTGTTTGTGTGTGTGTGTGGGTTGTGCACCGAGGCATCCAGAGAAAGTGTGTCTAGTTGTCTCACATGCTCCTGAACAGTTGAGTGAGCACAAACAGAACAGGGCTCACTACGGTCTCTTCACACCTTTTGTATCGCCCATACTGCCCTATCTATCTGTGTATGTGTGTGTGTGTGTATTAGCTAAATGTTAGTAGATTGGGAGAGTATTTTTATTTACACTTCTGTACACCAGCCTATGAGCAGGCTACATTACCTACAAGGACTGCGGTGAGAACAAATACAAATCAAATCAAATTTTATTTGCCACATGCGCCGAATACAACAGGTGTAGACATTACCGTGAAATGCTTACTTACAGCCCTTAACCAACAATGCATTTATTTTTTTATAAAAAAGTAAAATAAAACAACAACAACAAAAAAGTGTTGAGAAAAAAAGAGCAGAAGTAAAATAAAATAACAGTAGGGAGGCTATATACGGGGGTTACCGGTGCAGTGTCAATGTGCGGGGGGCACCGGCTAGTTGAGGTAGTTGAGGTAGTTGAGGTAATATGTACATGTGGGTAGAGTTAAAGTGACTATGCATAAATCATTAACAGAGTAGCAGCAGCGTAAAAAGATGGGGTGGGGGATGGGGGGGCAGTGCAAATAGTCCGGGTAGCCATGATTAGCTGTTCAGGAGTCTTATGGCCTGGGGGTAGAAACTGTTGAGAAGCCTTTTGGACCTAGACTTGGCGCTCTGGTACCGCTTGCCGTGCGGTAGCAGAGAGAACAGTCTATGACTAGGGTGGCTGGAGTCTTTGACAATTTTGAGGGCCTTCCTCTGACACTGCCTGGTATAGAGGTCCTGGATGGCAGGAAGCTTGGCCCCAGTGATGTACTGGGCCGTACGCACTACCCTCTGTAGTGCCTTGCGGTCGGAGGCCGAGCAGTTGCCATACCAGGCGGTGATGCAACCAGTCAGGATGCTCTCGATGGTGCAGCTGTAGAACTTTTTGAGGATCTGAGGACCCATGCCAAATGTTTTCAGTCTCCTGAGGGGGAATAGGCTTTGTCGTGTGCTCTTCACAACTGTCTTGGTGTGTTTGGACCATGATAGTTCGTTGGTGATGTGGACACCAAGGAACTTGAAGCTCTCAACCTGTTCCACTACAGCCCTGTCGATGAGAATGGGGCGTGCTCAGCCCTCTTTTTTTCCCTGTAGTCCACAATCATCTCCTTTGTCTTGGTCACGTTGAGGGAGAGGTTGTTATCCTGGCACCACACGGCCAGGTCTCTGACCTCCTCCCTATAGGCTATGTCATCGTTGTCGGTGATCAGGCCTACCACTGTTGTGTCGTCGGCAAACTTAATGATTGTGTTGGAGTCGTGCCTGGCCATGCAGTAATGGGTGAACAGGGAGTACAGGAGGGGACTGAGCACGCACTCCTGAGGGGCCCCCGTGTTGAGGATCAGCGTGGCAGATGTGTTGTTACCTACCCTTACCACCTGGGGACGGCCCGTCAGGAAGTCCAGGATCCAGTTGCAGAGGGAGGTGTTTAGTCCCAGGATCCTTAGCTTAGTGATGAGCTTTGAGGGCACTATGGTGTTGAACACTGGCGGTAGTATGTGTGTGTGGGTTGTGCACCGAGGCATCCAGAGAAAGTGTGTCTAGTTGTCTAGTTGTCTGAATAGCATTCTCACGTAGGTGTTCCTCTTGTCCAGGTGGGAAAGGGCAGTGTGGAGTGCAATAGAGATTACATCATCTGTGGATCTGTTGGGGCGGTATGCAAATTGGAGTGGGTCTAGGGTTTCTGGGATAATGGTGTTGATGTGAGCCATAACCAGCCTTTCAAAGCACTTCATGGCTACAGACGTCAGTGCTACGGGTCGGTAGTCATTTAGGCAGGTTATCTTAGTGTCCTTGGTGGTCTGCTTGAAACATGTTGGTATTACAGACTCAGTCAGGGACATGTTGAAAATGTCAGTGAAGACACTTACCAGTTGGTCAGCACATGCTCGGAGTACACGTCCTGGTAATCCGTCTGGCCCTGCGGCCTTGTGAATGTTGACCTGCTTAAAAGTCTTACTCACATCGGCTACGGAGAGCGTGATCACATAGTCATCCGGAATAGCTGGTGCTCTCATGTATGCTTCAGTGTTGATTGCCTCGAAGCGAGCAAGCCCCTTGTGTAGGCAGCACTTCTGTAGCCATACACAGTACGAGATCAGTCATAGGCTACTCAGTCTTTACTTGGCTCCAATGTGTCTTTATAAGGATGCGGTATGTGTGTCTTAAAAGTAAAAGTGAGTGTCTTGAGCATTTCAAGTCTCACATAGACTTTTGCTTTTAGTGTGGATCATGATTTTGAGTGACAGGAGTGTCACTTCCTCCATCAGAAAGGAAATAATATAAAATGTAGTGAATAGACAGAAACTCGTTATGAACGTTCCTGCAGACAATGCGGAAACTCAAGCTAACTTCCTACTCAGATACACACATGTGCGCGCCTGCGCACAGAAAAGCACACACATACACGTACAGAGGAAGGAGAGGAATTGACGCCTCCAGTGGAACCTCATCCTCCACTTCCGCAGAGGAAAGGAGAAACCACTTCTCCCCCTCTCCCTCTTTCTGTCACAACCGTCCCCCTCAGAGGGGCAATAAATCAATCAGTACCAAAATAACTGACCACACTGAGGCAGCCCTCCCAAATTCCTACACACACAATCTGATCCAAAATACACACACTCATACACACTCAGGTCGGAATTCAATCCATTGCAGATAGAGGATTTCAGGATAGCGTTCAAAAGGTATTTTAGAAGGCATAGTCACACTTTGATCCTCATATCATTTCCCAGTATGGTGAATTATTAGTACAAACAATACAACATAAGCGATTTGAGTGAGTCAGTTTACACCTCTATTGTTATTCCTAATATCGGTTAGTATCTAAATCCTCTTAAGTACCTCTGCGTTAAACAACAGCAGCATCAGTAAAGACAGTGATGGGCTACAGTGCAGCGTTACCTGCATGGGCGACGCACAATACAGGGTTGTGGGGTTATTAGTGTGGAACAAGGTATAATGAGACATTGAGACGGAGATCCACATGCATGTTATTCACTAGAAACGACTGAGTACCTCTTTACCACCATTCAGACCCCACTCTATGGTTTTATCCCAAATGGTACCCTACTTCTTATACTGTGCCAGTGCCAAAATAAGTGCACTATTTAGGAAATAGGGTGCCATTTCAGATTTGAGAGAAAGCCCCTGTCTTTCTATGCTAATGATTGACTACAGTAGCGTACTGTGTAAAGGGACTTACCTTTGATTCCAAACTTTGAGTTACCCCCGAATTTCAGGATGACCAGCATCAATAGAAAACCCACGAAGGCTACTGCTACAATCCCTACGACCACATATACCTGAAAGAATGACATAGGTGTTGAGCTAGGACCACCACTACCACTCGAAAATACAATGTGTCACAGTGTGTAGCTTACTACCACCAAGATACATGACACCTACCATATAAAAACATTAAATATAAAACAAACACACTTTCAACTATAAACATACTATATAGTAGTACGACTAATATAAGTAGTGGTAAAACATACTGTATAAAAACATAAACAAAATGTTATAAGCACTGCTCCCACAACATTTACAGGCTCCCACAAACACAAAACATACACATAAAGAGGTGACTTAAGAGTGTGACTTACAGCAACTCTGTCTTCCGGTGGCTCTAGAGGTGTGTCCTCTGCTTTCAAAGAGCAGAGAAGACAGCAGATGCTACAGTATCCCTCATTTATAATGAAGTTGATCAAATGTGTGTCCCTGTGGGTAACACGTTACTTGAGGGGTACCTACATAAGCACTTCATAACAATATTTGTATTATGTCTTGCGGTTGTTGACATAAGCATTTGCTGCTTATGAATGCAGTATATATGGGTTGGGTAATGAATGTGTTATGAAGTCCTTATATAGGTACCTTTCAAGTAAAGTGTTCACTCTATGAGTGTGTCAGAGTGACATAGGCCTATGTGCTTTTTAAGCTCTGATGTGTGATTGGGTAATGTGAAGGGACAGTCACTACACCTGTAGTTGGGTCTGTGGTGCCCAGGTCCAGTGTGACATGAGGAGAGGGAAGAGAAAATAAACTATTAACACTCAATAACACAAAAAGCAAACCTCAGAAATCAGTCTTCAAAGTATTTCTCAAGTCAATCATCTTTAGTGTCAGGACATCTGGTATTCATAAAAGTAAAGAACACTGTATAATTCTCAACAGTTCAATGAGTGATTCAGACAGTCAATGTTGCATGTAAATATTTGAAGAGCCACTCACCATAGTAAAGTGGTTCTGTCACTGTTCCTGTTGAGTAAAATACAAAAAGTACTTGATTGAGAAATAAAGGTCATAGATTAGTTAGGAACTCCCATCACCTGGTTGTCTAGGTCTAATTGGACACCAATTGAAAATAATTAACAGAAATGAGCAGACACACAGCCCTCTAGGATTTGAGTTTGACACCCCTGTCCTAAGTGCAATTCGATCCCTAGCCCCTACCCCCTAAGCACTTGAGTAGATCTGAGAGGATTGGACAGATAAGTGTTAGCAATATGGTAATAGCTCCATCTTGCCCTTTGATAGGCCAGGTGGAATTGTTGCCATATTGCAGACTATCCAATCCTCTCATATTGACACAAGTGGGATAGGGGTTGAATTGGTATTCAGAGAGTGGTCACACTACACACCACATACCTCCATCAAAGGGGTCAAGCATGAAGTGAGCCTCGACGGTCTTGCGGTCTTGTCCGTACTTGTTGCTGGCCAGCAGGGTGTACGGTCCGTTGTTGATGTGTGTGGGGCTGTCCAGCTGCAGGCAGCCGTGGTACTCCCTCTCAGAGAAGTCATGGATCATAGTCATGATGTAGGGTCCCTCATTTACCGGCTCCCCGTTTAACAGCCAGCGGAGCTCGGGCTTTGGGTTCCCAGACAAACTGAATGGGATGCACCAGTGGTGGTCCGAGTAGGCATCACTCAACTTACTGATGTTAGGGGGAACTGGGAGAGAGAGAGAGAGAGAGAGAGAGAGAGAGAGAGAGAGAGAGAGAGAGAGAGAGAGAGGAGAGAGAGAGAGAGAGAGAGAGAGAGAGAGAGAGAGAGAGAGAGAGAGAGAGAGAGAGAGAGAGAGAGGGAGGGAGGGAGTGAACGGGTGAGTGAGTGACAAAGATTGAGGGAGAAGCCAAAGTCCGGAAAAAAAACATTAGAAGAGGGAACTAGTTAAGACAACGGTATTATTCTCATCCTATCCCCTCCTTGTCTAGAGAGTAATGTTTGGAACTCACAGAGGATGTCGAGGAAGACTGAGGACTCATTCTCGCCCACAATGTTCTCAGCGCTGCAGGTGATCTTACAGTTGTTGTCCAGTGAGGAGAGGTTATAGAGATGGAGCTCAGACACCTGCCCTGAGGCCTCAATCTGCAGAGGACCACACAGAGACACAGTGAGTCAAGCACCCACCTCATCCACATTACCAATGCTTTTACACATCCACTACTATTTTGCTACTATTTTGCAAACACAAGACCTATTGCTGTTTTTTAGTGCTATTGTAAGATTATTGTTAACCATTTCTATCCAGATATCCTTCCCTAGTGTCTTGTTCATTTTTGGCATTGTGCTGGTTCTTCTGTTTGAGCGCCTATGCTAAACAAATGGAGCTACGCCTAGATTAGCAAGTAGCATTATAGGCCAAAGCTGGTGAATAATTGGTGTTAAAAGCCTCAGTGTTAAAATATCTGCATTATATACAGCTGGCCATGGCCATTGTAAAATATATACAGTGGGGAAAAAAAGTATTTAGTCAGCCACCAATTGTGCAAGTTCTCCCACTTAAAAAGATGAGAGAGGCCTGTAATTTTCATCATAGGTACAACGTCAACTATGACAGACAAAATGAGAAAAAAAAATCCAGAAAATCACATTGTAGGATTTTTAATGAATTTATTTGCAAATTATGGTGGAAAATAAGTATTTGGTCAATAACAAAAGTTTCTCAATACTTTGTTATATACCCTTTGTTGGCAATGACACAGGTCAAACGTTTTCTGTAAGTCTTCACAAGGTTTTCACACACTGTTGCTGGTATTTTGGCCCATTCCTCCATGCAGATCTCCTCTAGAGCAGTGATGTTTTGGGGCTGTCGCTGGGCAACACAGACTTTCAACTCCCTCCAAAGATTTTCTATGGGGTTGAGATCTGGAGACTGGCTAGGCCACTCCATGACCTTGAAATGCTTCTTACGAAGCCACTCCTTCGTTGCCCGGGCGATGTGTTTGGGATCATTGTCATGCTGAAAGACCCAGCCACGTTTCATCTTCAATGCCCTTGCTGATGGAAGGAGGTTTTCACTCAAAATCTCACGATACATGGCCCCATTCATTCTTTCCTTTACACGGATCAGTCGTCCTGGTCCCTTTGCAGAAAAACAGCCCCAAAGCATGATGCTTCCACCCCCATGCTTCACAGTAGGTATGGTGTTCATTGGATGCAACTCAGCATTCTTTGTCCTCCAAACACGACGAGTTGAGTTTTTACCAAAAAGTTATATTTTGGTTTCATCTGACCATATAACATTTTCCCAATCCTCTTCTGGATCATCCAAATGCACTCTAGCAAACTTCAGACGGGCCTGGACATGTACTGGCTTAAGCAGGGGGACACGTCTGGCACTGCAGGATTTGAGTCCCTGGCGGCGTAGTGTGTTACTGATGGTAGGCTTTGTTACTTTGGTCCCAGCTCTCTGCAGGTCATTCACTAGGTCCCCCCGTGTGGTTCTGGGATTTTTGCTCACCGTTCTTGTGATCATTTTGACCCCACGGGGTGAGATCTTGCGTGGAGCCCCAGATCGAGGGAGATTATCAGTGGTCTTGTATGACTTCCATTTCCTAATAATTGCTCCCACAGTTGATTTCTTCAAACGAAGCTGCTTACCTATTGCAGATTCTGTCTTCCCAGCCTGGTGCAGGTCTACAATTTTGTTTCTGGTGTCCTTTGACAGCTCTTTGGTCTTGGCCATAGTGGAGTTTGGAGTGTGACTGTTTGAGGTTGTGGACAGGTGTCTTTTATACTGATAACAAGTTCAAACAGGTGCCATTATTACAGGTAACGAGTGGAGGACAGAGGAGCCTCTTAAAGAAGAAGTTACAGGTCTGTGAGAGCCAGAAATCTTGCTTGTTTGTAGGTGACCAAATATTTATTTTCCACCTTAATTTGCAAATAAATTCATAAAAAATCCTACAATGTGATTTTCTGGATTTTTTTTCCTCAATTTGTCTGTCGTAGTTGACGTGTACCTATGATGAAAATTACAGGCCTCTCTCATCTTTTTAAGTGGGAGAACTTGCACAATTGGTGGCTGACTAAATACTTTTTTCCCCCACTGTATATATATATAGTGTGAAACAGTATTGCCGTTAAAGTGTATATTATCACTGTTCATTAAGAATGTACCTGTTTAAAGGTGTGAATGGTTTATTCCAGGTAAGGGTAGGTCCTTTTAGGATCCCTGTTCACCTCATTCAGGGAGAGCTGCTTGTCTAGGCAACATGCTGATGCTATAGCTCTACCATATACTCAGACGTGTGAGTTTATAGGCGTTTTGCCTTAGTCCTCCTCGAGCTGAGGTAATTCTGCTATTGGCCAAGTAAGTATGTTTTTCAAGTTCATTATTATTATTATTTTTTATCTTAATCTTTCTGCATTTGTATATCCTACTTATTTTTACATCTGCACCTCTGACTAAACAGGCTGCCAGGTCCTCTGTCTTAAAGAGCGACTGCCCCTAAAAAGCAACTTCTCGTTTTGAAAATGGTCCATGTGGCATCGATATGAGTTAGAAAAATGTATTCTATTTTCAAAATTGACTACAAAGTGTAAATAGTATAATTTTGGTCATAAAGTCAGTCTCGTCCAAAATTTAGATTTGCGAGATGATCGGAAAAAATGGTGTCAAGGAATGAAGGGTACCATAACAGTTTCCTTGGGATGGGTTTATTTTAATCCTGCCCACATGCCCACAGCTGGCAGCACCTATGAAGTAATCATCAATTAGGAGCACAGCTGCACACGACCTGATCATAATGCCCATGGTCAATTTGGTTTGACATTCGATATCCCTATGGGGCTAGTTAGGGACCATCAGTAAATAACACAATGTACATGGGATAATATTTTTAAATGGTCAATAGCTCCCAATTTTAATCACTTAAAAACTTCAAACCAACTACAAATTGTAGAACTTCATATACAAATATTGAAATCATTTAATGAGGAAACTAAAAGATGTGCAACATGAAAATGTTGTCCCATTTACATTGTGTAATTTATGGACGGTCCCTAACTATCCCCAGATCTATCCAAAGTCAAACCAACTTTGCCACGGTCGCACACCAATAATTTGGCTAACTCTTCCCACCACATCAAACCACACCCCGAAACCAACTCACGTTTGAAATCAGTCATAGCATTTCTTAATGAACCAAATCTAAAACGAGGCCAAATCAGGAAGTGCAGTCGCCCTTTAACAGAAGGAATGTGCCTTTAACTGGTGGATTAGTGTTGTTGCTGATGGGTAGGTCCAGGAGTCTTACATGAGCAGAACCAACTCTGGGCCCAAGTTAGAGGCCCTAGTAACATGGGCACAGAGTTTTTCCGGATCAGGTCACGTGGTCAGTAAAACTCCTGGCCCTACTCATGGGTGCATCTAAAACGGCATTCTATTCCCAATATACAATGAATAGGGTGCCATTTGAGATGCAGCCATGGGCTTTTTGGTGGTGGGCGACGGTGGTGACTGACCTCATTGTAGGAGACGAGTGGGGTCATGTTCCAGATGAGCTCAGGAGAGGGCGCTCCGGAGGTGTTGCATGTCAACACCACATCAGCACCCTCCTGCACCATCACCTTGGATGGGCTCAGAGTTGCCATGGGAACCACTGCCAACGACAACGAAGGGGAGATTCAATGCAATCTTAGTTAAAAATCACAGCACACACACAGCGGTGGTCACACACAGATTACAACTCCATGTGTCTCGCAACTCAGATAAAATTTATTAGACACAATTTGGAGCCTCTCTAAGAGGAGACAACAACACAACCAAAGGTGGAGGGGATGGGACTGTGACCTGAAGGTGACCCACATGTGTCCATTCAGAAGCTTGGCTGCCTCTTAGCCGCAGCCAAGGGCATGGGAGCGTCTGGCGAGGAAGGGCCAGTGTCGACAGTCCTGGCTGATAAAATGGACAGATCTCTTATCTCCACTAATAGACATCGCCAAGACTCTTATCAGCATGGCAACGCTCTCAATGATTCTAGAACCCAGAAAACTATTAATTTCAGCACTCAGACCATACCATCTTAAACACCTTTAGTAAATCAACCATTACAGCTTGAGCAGTCTCAGTTACTCTCTTACAAGCACTGCCAGCTGCAGTGTTAACCCTACCCACTCAACAAAGCTACAGTACACTAGTAAAGCACAGTATGCCTTTACAATGTGTCCATCATTAACAGCACAGCCCGTGGGCTAATCTGGTTGCAATGGTTGTTTACTGGTTGTAATCAGTTTTAGACACTAAAACCTACAGCATCAACATCTCCAATATAAATATTGGTCGGCAGCAGTGAAGGTCATAGCTTAGTCTCAGATAACTTCTGTTTCCAACACATGAAAACTACAGCACTGAGCTGTGGATTTCATATAGTACAGGATGACAGAGAGAGAGAGGGAGATATGAACAGAGAAAGAAAGACAAAGAGATACCCTGAAAAAGAGAAGTTCAGAGAGAGAGAGAGAGAGAATGACAGAGAAAAAGGGGGTTTGCAAGGTTCTCATTGCTGCCTGGCAGGCCTGGGGCATCGTACACACGCCTCTCCCGTGAGTGGTCTTCATATGTCACTCACACAGGGGTCCCCCTGCCGTCTCTCCAGGGGCCCGCACGTAACCATGGCGATGGCGAAAATAGCAGCCTAATGGAGTGGTTTAGGGAAAAAAATAAGATCCATGGTGTGTGTTTTGAGGATCATTGGGAGATGTGCGTGTGTGTATGAGCGTGCATGTGTGTGTGTATTTTGGGGCCATTACCACAGTGAGGGGGGTTGAGCTTGGTCAGAGGTTTCCTCCCACCACCCTCCTCTATACATTTGAGCCCCTGAGCATCAGCCTCCTCTCCCAGCCACAGCTTCATCCACATGTTCTCACAGGAACAGTGCAGCGGGTTCCCTGAAAGAATCCTACACACACAGAGAAACAAAGTGTTGAATATTGAATCACACACTGACACAAACACACACATGTATGCAGGTATGCGCACATACAGATGCGCACACATGCACTAATGTTTTTTTTAAATCTATGATGACACATTGTCAGTCAGGGGTGCATAAAACACTGAAATAAAGAGAGAGAGAGAGAGAGAGAGAGAGAGAGAGAGAGAGAGAGAGAGAGAGAGAGAGAGAGAGAGAGAGAGAGAGAGAGAGAGAGAGAGGAAGATAGAGAGATAGAGGAAGATAGAGAGATAAGAGAGAGAGAGAGAGAGAGAGACAGACAGACAGACAGACAGACAGACAGACAGACAGACAGACAGACAGACAGACAGACAGACAGACAGACAGACAGACAGACAGACAGACAGACAGACAGACAGACAGACAGACAGACAGACAGACAGACAGACAGAGTGAATAAAGTTGATTTGAAAAGCAACTCACAGATTTGATATGTTTAAATGTCGAAATATCCTCCAATACAGAGATGACAAGTTGTTGTCTTTCAGATTCCTGTCAATCAGAATGAACATTATTATCGATAATTAGTTGAAAGACATATACAGCATATCCAAAAGAAATGCTAAACTGTACAACCATTCCAGCAACTGTTCCTGTCTGTCTTACAAGATATAATTATTTTTGTAAGAACTGTAGTTTGACCTTCACATTGAGATGAATTTTGCCTTATAAAAGCCACTCACAGATACTGAAGTTTGAGGTTGTTCTGGAAGGCCAGTCGAGACACATAGGTAAGCCTGCTGTTAGTCACAGTTCTGCAATGCAAATATACACTATAACATCATCATATTGCACTAGGATGCTGACACCAATCCAATCTGGGCTCCATCATGACCACAAATATAAGATATCACATAACATAACAGACTTACAGATTCGTGAGGTTCCGGTAATAATGCAGGTCTTTGTCATTGATGGATGAGAAGCTACTCTGATTTGCAATATATCTGTTAAAATTAAATTGGGAAAAAAGGTTAGAGAATAGTAAGTAGTAGGCCTACACTGACGGGAGTTTTTGTTTAAAGATTTATGTCAAGTTCGTTTGGAAATACACAGGATCCTTCCTATAGACCCATACTCAAGTCCTCTAATTGTTGTCATTTTTAACAGTCGACTATTATGTAAACAAAATAAACATTGTTAGGCTACTTTTATTGTATTGTATCTTTATAATCCTATAACGTTTACAGTAGGCTATGTATATCAAAGGGTCGGCTATGGTCTTGAGAAAGAGAAGCTCCCATCATGTCCTCCTAACATCATGCATTCTAAATGCTGTAGCCCTAAAATAACCCAGATGATTCTCCGATTGTCTTCAATTAGGCTATGCTAAATCTGAACAGCTCTGAAACGTGGGTGGAGATTAATTTAGTCTAGGCCTATTAGTTTTAGTTCACAATAGAAGCAAAATGGCCTAGGCTATATACATTTCTCAGAATAGAACATTCTAGGCTTTCTAGGCTTTTGGGCCCATTATCGGAGCCAAGCGTCTGGGGGGGTAGTAGTCTTTTGCTAATATTTGGATTAGGCTACTGTCTGGGTTTCTGCTGGAGGAGGACAACACCTCTCCACACTCCGTTGTGACTTCCCGGGGCCACTGTGGAGTGTCAATCGGTTCCGATTGTACACACACACACACACACAGTCCATAATTATGTATTTTTGTTTATTTATTTTCCAAAGATCACTCCTGAAAAACTATACAATAGGTTTTATTAGCCAATTCAAATAGCCTAATTGCTGACTGAGAATTGACCATTCGATTGAACATTCAATTCTACTCATTTTGATAGCCTAAAACGCATAGCCTTTTTTCACCTCATTATTGTGTGTCAATAAGGCAGGCAGGCTATGTCTGTCATATTTGGTGGGTCCGTTGATGATGGATCATTGACAGTGACTCACATGTCGGTGATGTTGTCCATCTCCAGCTCAGACTGCAGCACTGGGAAAGCCATGATGCCCCGCTCCTGTTCCACACAGGCGATCCTGGTCCCGCTGCAGAAGCAGGACGCGGGGCAGGCGGCCCCGAGCCTCCACAGTCCCATTAATACCCAACACAACCCCAATAGAGACACCCCGCTACTCCTCCGAAAGGCGCTCATCTCGGCTCCCTCCACGCCCGACCCAGGACAGCTCGGATCAGCCAAGCTCCAGCAGAAAGAGACGCGGTCAGATGCTCAACCCAGACGGGCATGCACCAGCCGCTATCCGCGCAAATGGGTGAGACGGCGAAAATGGGTTTATCCGTTCCGCTCGTCTCCACAAGAATGCAGCCAGTCACTCAAAATCACATTGAGACACCGACGTGTGTGTATGCCAAGGATTCCTTTGCGCCGTCTCTCGCTCTCTCTCCCGCTCTCTCTCTCTCCCGCCTCTCAAACAGATGACATTGATAGGCCTAATTCCACACAAAACACCATGTCCTGTGCAGGTCTGCCAGATTCAGAGCCGTGGATGAATAGATAACCAACAGAGACGATGGAGCCGAAAGCACACACCGTTTAGGCTATTGTCGCGTTGTTCAGTCAGTGCACTGAGGAAGAGGCGGCGCGGGTACCAGCGTCAACGCATATGTTATAGATCGTCGACGCCGTCAGGAATACGCCCTCCAGCCGTCGTTCTAATTCTACTGCGATTGTTCCAGATGGTCAAGGGTTAAAGCGCTCTCTTCTCCTCCGCGTCATTCACCTGATGCCTTGTCTTTAGCCTTGTGTCCTTGTATAACGGACAAATAGCATAACCTGGAACATGACAGATATGGGGCTGGGTTTACAGCCTGAGTGTATGCGAATAGAATGTCGTGTGTTAATAAAAAAACCTAAATGACAGCGCACCCAGGTGTGCATCTGCTAAAATCCCATTTGATTTATCCCACTGGAACAGCGGGGCATGGGGGCACTAGCCTACTCTCAGTCACCAATCATTCCCTCTTTAGCTGCTGTATACCAACCTCCATCACCTTATTAAATCATTAGTCTGTATTTCATAACGATCAACATTTTTCGCCAGCATATGCACTGAATCAATCCTGACTGCAGCGGAGGGATGTTATTCACCCGCTGGACTCATTACAAATGGAGTCATAAATCTGCCTCCTTGGCTCCTTCCCGCCACACACACTCACACGCACACGCACACGCACACGCACACGCACACACACACACACACACACACACACACACACACACACCAGTTCTGAGTCGCGCGCTCTCCCATGTCAGACACGATGTGACGTACGCAGTGACGCACAAGATGTAGCCTTCGTCTGAATTGAGGAGTTTACACAAACTGAGCTGTAGCCAATGAGGAGTCGACAGAAAATGCTAACATCCGGAAGGGGGAACTCCGCTCAGGTGTCTTTCTACGCCTGCTACGTTAGGTTAGCTGAGCTGAATCTGTCTCTACAAATCTATAGGGGTGTCTCCAACTTGGGGCTGGGCACAGTACGGTGTAGGCTATTGTGCATTCAGAAAGTATTCAGAAAGTATTCAGACCAAGTATTCAGACCCCTTGACTTTTTCCACATTTTGTTAACTTACAGCCTTATTCTAAAATGGATGAAACTTTAGAATAAAATAGAATAATGTTAGAATAAAACGCTTCAGTTTTACAGATTGAATTGTTGTCCAACAAGTGTTTAAAGGCCTTGATAGTTTAATTCTAACATTAGATCATTCAAATATGTAATACAAATCTCCAAACCTCTTTTTGTTTTGTTTCATAGCACTATTAAATGCTCCAGGGCTAATTTCATTAGCATTTTGGCATGTTTTTCTAGATTTAGATCATAAAACATCGTCTATAAAGCAAACATTATCCCTTAGGTCTAGCACAGCAAATACTTCAATCGTTTAAGCATTATGTTGCAGAATAGTGATTACAATATTTTTCTAAATATTTACAAGGAAAATCAATCTTGAGGGGGTTAGCCATCAGTGATGGAGTTGACAAGCCACTGACGGAGTTGACAACAGACACTCAAAACAGACATATTTTTGCCTCTAAAAATACAAGTTCAATACAAACATTTGTAAAATATGGAAATGTATTCTTTTGAAAATCCCCAATAAAAAATAACCATTCTATCAGGTCTTTCAGCACTCTGACGGAGTTGATGTTAGACAAAAATCTGACGGCGTTGATGTTTTACAGAGTTGACAAAAATGTCATTTTTCTTCTTCATTCAAGTGGTATACACAGCAGCAATTTAGTTTTTCTTCAGTTGCTTTATGACTCTGAAACCTAATTTAATGTAACATATTTGAATCAAAATTCATATTCTATTTTAATCTGTCAGGCAGATGGAGTTGACAGTTTATGGTTGTGACCAGGGTTATTCCAATATTGTTTGTTTAAATCTATCAAAACTAGAGAACTTTACAAACCATCAGTGGTCTTGTTGCACTACATGTAATGAGGACATGAATAAAGGATCCTTATGGTATAGCCAATCCTGCTCATATCTGATTAATTTAGGATTTTAGACAAATCTGACAAAGTTAACAAAATCTCCAGACATCTTTTAGGACTCAAAGTTTTTAGATAAATACATTTTAACACTTTTTTTTGTTGAGAGTTTGACATTGGGATCCTTTGCTCCGGACAGTGGCATTTCCAGGCATAGAGTCGATATGGAAATGAATAATATTGAAAGTATTAAAAAAATTAAAAAATATATACATTTTCCCTTATAAAATTCCCCTACATGTAAATGTAAAGCTCAAATAATGCAACAGAATGAAAGACAATCCACTATACAAATTAAGTTTCAAGAATCCCTGATCTAATTCCCTGCTATTCTACACATTTTGCCATAAGGCTGAGAGAAAATGTAGCAGTTTTAAAGCTAATTTCCTGTAATAAAAAATAAAAAAGTCCTGCTTATGATGTGTTCATATGTTATCTGGGCCTCCGGGGGGACCCCCCCCCCCAAAAAAAATAAATAAATAAAAAAACACTTAGGCCATAACCAAATCCATATATGACTCTGCTTATAACTAACTATCCCTTCATCTGTGGTATTATCCCCAAATTAGGCCTACAGCTTGGACTGGCAAAGGTACTGTAGCTTATCGCCACGGTACTAAAGACATTACCAATCATGTACTGCTCCTCTGTGGCCATTTAGCAAGTACACATGCCCACAAAGTGGATCACTGGGGACTAGAAAATACCTTGTGGCTGTGGCTGTGGCCAAACTGTGGCTGTATATAAAAAATATATATAAACGTTTTACAAAAATACATATCTGACATGATTAACAAATAGATAAAATATGTTTTAGATCATACGCTCTCAATATCTATGTTCATGGTTCATAAATGCACTTTAAGCTAAATGATGAACATCTTGTTTTATTGTTTGTTTAATTAATTCAGAGTCCTTAATTTCTACTATGCAGACTATGAATTTGAATATTTTTGACATTGCCCAATTATCCATTGTAGTAAATTTAATGCAAACAGACCTCTCACTAAAGGCTTCAGTCATACAAGAGCTATACTTAAATCTGAATGGGTTCTCTAGCAGATTAGTAAGAATGGCTCACCCCATGTTCAAGAATGGCCTTTTTCCCTTTATTCAGATTACAACCTCTCACTTTCGGTTATTTGAAAATGAAATAATCTCCAAAATATTGCTATTTTTTAAAACAAGCCATAGAAAGTTGGTTGCAATTTCAGTTTAATCCATCAGAAAAGACAGAACAAATATTACAACAAATATTATGGTTAAACTCAATTATAAAAACGGTATAATCTTTGTAAATTATATCATAAATAGGACTAGTGGAGTTATGTCACAAATGCAGCTAAGAAAAATATATGGACATGTCTGCTCTATTCAAAATTACAACCAACTAATTGCAGCATTACTGCAAAAATGGAAGGGGGATTAATTAAGGAATTTGTCTGTCAGCCCTGCATTAAAGACCAAAATTGGTTAAAGAAAATTGTGATAACTAAAAAAGTATACCAGTTTCATTTTAGGACCAAAAAATTGACAGCTGTGCCATACAGATTGCAAAATATTTGGGAAGAGATTTTCGATGTACCGATTCCATGGCACATGGTTTATGAACTGATACACAAAACCACCCTGCATTCAAAACTAGTTTTTCAATTTAAATTATTCTACAAAATTCTTGCAACCAATAGAATGTTATATACACTACCAGTCAACAGTTTGGACACGCCTACTCATTCAAGGGTTTTTCTTTATTTTTACTATTTTTTACATTGTAGAATAACAGTGAAGATATCAAAACTATGAAATAACACATATGGAATCGTGTAGTAACCAAAAAAGTGTTAAACAAATCAAAATATATTTTATATTTGAGATTCTTCAAATTGCCACCCTTTGCCTTGATGATAGCTTTGCACACTCTTGGCATTCTCTCAACCAGCTTCATGAGGTAGTCACCTGGAATGCATTTCAATTAACAGGTGTGCCTTCTTAAAAGTTAATTTGCGGAATTTCTTTCCTTCTTAATGCGGTTGAGCCAATCAGTTGTGTTGTGACAAGGTGGGGTGGGTGGGGGGGGGGGGGGGGGGGGGGTATACAGAAGATAGCCCTATTTGGTAAAAGACCAAGTTCATATTATTGCAAGAACAGCTCAAATAAGCAAAGAGAAATTACAATCCATCATTACTTGAAGACATGAAGGTCAGTCAATATGGAACATTTCAAGAACTTTTAAAGTTTCTTCAAGTGCAGTCGCAAAAACCATCAAGCGCTATGATGAAACTGGCTCTCATGAGGACCGCCACAGGAATGGAAGACCCAGAGTTACCTCTGCTGCAGAGGATAAGTTCATTAGAGTTACCAGCCTCAGAAATTGCAGCCCAAATAAATGCTTCACAAAGTTTAAGTCACAGACACATCTCAACATCAACTGTTCAGAGGGAACTGTGTGAATCAGGCCTTCATGGTCGAATTTCTGCAAAGAAACCACTAATAAAGGACACCAATAAGAAGAAGAGACCTGCTTGGGCCAAGAAACACGAGCAATGGACATTAGACTGGTGGAAATTTGTCCTTTGGTCTAGAGTCCAAATTAGAGATTTTTGGTTCAAACCGCCGTGTCTTTGTGAGACGCGGTGTGGGTGAACGGATGATCTCCGTATGAGTAGTTCCCACCGTAAAGCATGGAGGAGGAGGTGTTATGGTGTGGGGGTGCTTTGCTGGTGACACTGTCTGTGATTTATTTATATTTCAAGGCATACTTAACCAACATGGATACCACAGCATTCTGCAGCGATACGCCATCCCATCTGGTTTGGTGGGACTATCATTTGTTTTTCAACAGGACAATGACCCCACACACCTCCAGGCTGTGTAAGGGCTATTTGACCAAGAAGGAGAGTGATGGAGTGCTGCATCAGATGACCTGGCCTCCACAATCCCCCGATCTCAACCCAATTGAGTCAGACGGCAGAGTGAAGGAAAAGCAGCCAACAAATGCTCAGCATATGTGGGATCTCCTTCAAGACTGTTGGAAAAGCATTCCAGGTGAAACTGGTTGAGAGAATGCCAAGAGTGTGCAAAGCTGTCATCAAGGCAAATGGTGGCTATTTGAAGAATCTCAAATATAAAACATATTTTGATTTGTTTAAAACTTTTTTGGTTACTACATGATTCCATATGTGTTATTTCATAGTTTTGATGTCTTCACTATTATTCTACAATGTAGAAAATAGTACAAATAA